CCCTGCTGTGGTGGCCACGGTGTCTGGGGGTCACGTGCAAGAGCTGTGGTACCTGTCCCGGCTGCAGGGGCACGCCCGTTTTTTAGGCCTGTCCACCCTGACCCAGGGGCTGCCCACAGCACCGCGAGACCCAGCGTCCCCCCCCCCCACCCCCAGCCACTCCTCTCCCCCCCTTAACGGCCTCCCAGGCTGACCCCTAGGGCTTGCCCTCACTGCCCTTTCCCCTAAGTGTCCTCCTCGGATGAGGAGCGACCCTCCTCCCTCCGACACCACCCCAGCCCCTTCAGCTGCCTGATGTCACGGTGACTGTCCTCAGCCGAGCGAGACCCCGTTGTGCCCCAGGCCGTTTGCAGGCCCTGGCAGAGGTGGATGTGCCCCGGAGATAGACGCGCTCAAATGCCTTTTCGGATTCTTGGGGCTCTTGAGGTGCATGTGAAAGAGTGAACCGCCGGGTGGGTGGAAGCTCCGTTCTCAGTCCTTCCAGAAGCCTCTGTCCAGCGGCTGGACGGGAGCCATGAGTGCGGAGGCCCTTTTCGCCACGTGCCCCCCACACCACTGGCTCCCAGCCTTGCGGATTTGCCCTTCTCTGAGGAGCACTTTCTCGCGCCCCTGTTGGCCTTCTCTGAGGAAGCGTCTGTCCAGCTCTGCCCCCTCCCATTTTGGGGGGCCCCTGTCTCGCTGCTCGGTTCTGTGAGTGCTCTGTGACTCTTGTCGGACGTGTGGTGAGCGGCTGTTTCTCCCCGTCGGGACTGCTGTTCCCTCCCGTTCACCCGCTGCCTCCCGTTGGCCTGTTTTGCTCCTGTTCTCCTCAGTGGGGCTGCGCCGCTGAAGGCCTCCCAGACCCGGCACTGTGGGTTCTGGGTGCCTTCCTCTGTGCATTCTCTGGACTCGGGTCGAATGTCAAGGCTTGTGCTCTCGTGTTTTGTTTTGGGTCTACACCAGGCGGGCCTCAGGGTTACTCTTGAACTCTGTGCTCAGAGGACCCGGGAGTGCCAGGACTGACCCGGAACCTGGTTAGCCATGTGCGGGAAGGTGCCCCCCCACCGCCCGCAGTCTCCCAAACATGCTCCCCCCATCTCTGATCCATTTGGAATTAACTCCTGAGTATGGCATGGGACAGGCTTCTCCACATTCCTTTTTTGCAGCATGTGGCTACCAGTTTCCCAGCACCATTTGTTGAAGAGACTTTCCTTATTTTTTTTTATTGGGCGGATGGGGGATTCTGGGCTATAGCCGCCGGTGCTCAGGGGTCACTCCCTACTCTGCACTCAGGAATTACTCCACGGTACTTAGTGGACAGTCTCCAATGGAGACGTTACTGGGCCCGCTCAAGCAAATCGATGATCAACGGGAGGGCCTTTACCTTTACCTTTACTCAGTGGACATATGGGATGCCGGGGATCGAACACAGGTCTGCTCTGTGTAGAGCAGGTGCCCTCTCCGCTGTGCTCTCTCCAGCCCCTGAAGAGACTCTCCTTGCTTTATTTCTTACACTGTGTCCTCGGTGGGAGGTGGCCTGACCATGTAACTGAGGGTCAGCGTGTGGCTCCTGGTGCGATTCCATCAGTCTGACAGTCCTTTCTTCTGTGTTCCAGTGTGGCGGGCATATTGTAAGGAGTGGAAAGTGGGTTTGATGTTTTAATGTTGCTGCTGGGAAAAATGCCAATGATCTGCAACAGAAGCTGAGCTTCCTAGTGCTCCCGAGTCGGCTGTGGGCTTGGAGGGTGTGCAGACCTGCCCAGAGCCCAGGAAGGCTCTCACAGCTCTCGGGGGGGCACAGGGCCGGGGTGGGACCTTGCACCGTGTCCCGCAGCTCCAGATGTGCACCGTGTTTGCTGGGGAGGCACAACCCCACAGCCTGGATGGTCAGGGCCCAGCACTGGTGACGTTTTCTGCAGGGTCTTATGATGCTCTGAGGGACGGGGCAGAAGGGGAGCCCTGGAGGGGGTCTGAGACTCCGGAAACCCAGACCGGGAGGAGCCTCCCTGGGGCTGGGCACAGCCTCCTGTCCTGCCCTCCTGGCTCCCCAGCGTCCGGCTGACTCCCAGCTCTGTGCTCCGCATGGCCTCATGTTTTCCTGGCACGTCTGGCTCCGACTCTGTGGGCTTGGGGGAGGCGGGTATCCCCATTGCTGTGTGGAGCCGGCCACCTGTCCCTGTGCTCGCCGCTGCCGTCCACCTGGCCCTGGCTTCTGCCCGGCTCTGCGGCTGTGTGATGGCCACAGGCCAGGGCAGCAATAGGGCCGTGAGCCGCGCTGGCCTCAGGCTGCTGCTCTGGAGACGGCAGCCCCGCGTGGACAGCCCTGCACTCTCTGGCCGCACCGGGGGCTGAGGGAGGGGGCCTGCCCATGGTCCAGCTGCCGGGGCTCACTGGGCCTTCCCCACAAGTGCAGCAGGGCCCCCTGCAGCCCCCCACGGGGCACTGCGTGACGGAGGGCGTGGTACCGTCCTAGCGTGGCACCAGGTCGGGGAAGCTTGTGTGGAGGGGCTCTGGGCCCAACCCTGCATGGCACCGCGTGGAGGGGGCTGCTGCACACACACACACGCACACACATATGCACACACATGTGCACGCACAGGCACACACACGCACACACACACGCACAAACACACACGCGTGCACACACACGTATGCGCACGCGCTCACACACACACACTCCTCCATGCTGCGCTGGGCTCTGCAGTGGCACGGCTGTTGCAGAGCATCTCAGTGGCCTGGCTGCAGACACCCTCAGGGGAGCTCAGGGGCACTCAGACCAGCAGTGCCCCCAGGCTCCCCGGCCCTGACCCAGCCCCAAGGTGCGCAGACTGGGGACGGGGGGGGGGGGGGGGGGGGGGGGGTGAGCTCCTGCCAGGCGCCCCTCCCGTTTGCCAAGAGCCAGGCCTCCTCATTCTGGGCAGGTCGTGGGCTGCCCTCTGGTGGCCGTGACCGGGAGGGCCGGGAGGTGTGTCCAGGGGGCCTTGGCACAGGGCAGGGCTGGGCTCCAGGGGGAAGTGGAGGACAGCAGCAGGGGCTTTGAGCACGGCTGGGGTGGGCGTCAGTGAGGGGGGCAGCCTGCGTTGCTCAGCCTAGAAACGGGGGATATCAGGTCAAACAAGCCACAGTATGTCCCTGGCACCGAAGCCCTACCTGGGGCTCTGCGGGAGCGAGTAGGACTCTGGGGACCTTGGTGGAGCCCCGTGTGGTGGTGTGGAGAGGCTTGAGTGAGTCCCCCCTGGCCCTGTCAGAGCCTGGTCTGAGCGCGGGCTGAGCCGAATGAGTTAGCAGTGCGAGGACGCGGCCAGGCCCGGGGCACCAGGCACTGGCCACCACAAAGGCTGGCTTGGGGTGGCCAGCCCAGACACTGCCCCTGCTGCCTCCTCCGGAGCACTGATGCAGGGCCTTGCCTGGTGCTGCCCTCTGCTGATGCAGTGCCTCACCCAGTGCTGCCCTCTGCTGATGCAGTGCCTCGCCCAGTGCTGCCCTCTGCCTGGCGCAGGGTCTTTCCCGTGCTGCCCTCTGTCCTTTAGAAAGGCATGCTCTAAACAGCAGGAACAGCAGGAAACGGGGGTTGGGCTGGGAGCATGTTGAGAGGGAGGAGAGCCCAGGAGGAGGACACCCTGTTGTGGCCTGCACCCAGGTCTCACAGGGGCCTCACAGCAGCACACAGAACAGCCGCAGCCAAGCGGGGAAGAACCACAGCATGTAAGGTTCAGAAATGATGTTCCCTCTCGGCATGAACTTCTCCCCCCTCAGCGCCCCCTGTGTCCACGGGGCCCCTGTCTGGGTATCCCCCTGCCCTGCATCTCTGGGGGCTCCATTTGGGTTCGGGTCAGTGCTGGGTCTGTGTCCCCTGCAGAGTCGCCCGCTTATCCGCGGGGGTGAGGGTGGCTGAGCCCAGCCGCAGGAGGGCCAGAAGCAGAGCCCTTCCCGGGGGCTGTCTGCGGAGCACTTCCTCCCGTGTTCCTGGAAGGGGCTGGTCATTTCTGAGTGGGGTCCTGTGTCTACAGGTGGTCAGAAGGGGAGGACCATGTGAGGCCTCGGCTCTGATGGGTCCCATCTGAGCGCACATGGTGGTCTGCAGAGGGTGGTGGGCGTGCTGGCCACCCAAAGTGGCCTCCTGGTGGGCGTGCTGGTCACCCAGAGGGCCTTTTGGCTGGTGAGTGGACACCCAGAGTGACCTCCTGGCATGCTGAGAAAGCGTTTGGCCTTGTTGGGTCCTGCCGCCTTCCCTGGGTCCCAGGCAGGGTCTTACCCCCTGGATCCAGCCTTGAGGGTCACCAGTGGCCAGTTAGGGGCCATCTGCGGACACAACCCCTGGCATGTGCTGACCGGACTCTTGCCCCGCCAACCTGAGCCCACACTGTCGAGCTGTTTGGCCACCTTTGAATGGTGCCGCCTCTGTCCCCTCCCTGCCCCCTAATGGGCATCTTCCTCGCTGGATCCTGGGACTCTCCGGCCAGCGGGGCTGGAGGCCTGCTGCTCTGAGCCCTTAGCCTCAGCAGGGAGCATGCAGGGCGCCCAGCTTCAAGCAAGTGTGTCAGGGTGTCGCAGGCCCCCGCAGAGTCGCTGACAGCCATTCTCTGGGGTCTGTCCCCACCCGAGCCCGGGGCCACGTCCCTCCCTGTAGCCTGGGCCCCGGCACGGCTACGCACCTCCCGGTGCCGAGGGGTGCAGTGCCACAGCGGTGCAGGGGGCATCTCGACGGGCACGGCAGCCTGACCCCCGTGTCACAGCCAACAAGCCCCGGGACGAGTGTGCTGTGGGGATCAGGGCGGGGCTGGCTGCCGGGCGCCGAGGGTTCCGGTCCCTCTCCTGACCCTCGCTCCTCTCCCTCTGCGGCAGCCTGGCCCTCTCTGGTATCGCCCGCGCTGGGCACCTGTCTCGGCCGCCTCCCAGCCCGCCACCTGCTTGGCTGCCCGCACACCTTGGCCCCTCCCTGCCATGGCTGTTTCTCTGGCGTTGGAGTGTCTGCCCCGCCCCCCGCCCCCTGCTGACCAGCCTCTTTCCCGCCCGCCCAGGATGCCCAGTGATGGTGGCTCACGAGGAGGACACGCAGATCCCCCCCGAGGAGACTAGCGCCGTGGAGCTGGTGGCCGCGCCCGCTGCGGGCAGGTGGCTGTGAACTGTGGCCTTGGCGGTTCCCACGAGGAAGCATGTCGAAGAAGGGCCGGAGCAAGGGCGAGAAGCCCGACATGGAGACGGACCCGGTGCAGATGGCCAATGAGGAGCTGAGGGCCAAGCTGACCAGCATTCAGATAGAGTTCCAGCAGGAGAAGAGCAAGGTGGGCGGGGCTGTGCAGCCGGTGGGCGGTCCCTTCCGGAGGCCGCCTGCCCCCCCCTCCCCAAGGCCCTCCCAAGCCCCGGCGGTCCTGGCCCCACCCAGGGGCCACTTTGCCTCTGCCTCCGACCGGGCGCTTCACTTCGGGGCTGGCCCTGGACAGAGGACGGGGTTCGGGCATGGCTGTGCTGTTGGCTGCTCACACAGTCTGCAGGGCCAGGCATGCAGTAGGCGCCTACTTAGAGCAGGTCTGGCTGCCCACAACCGGTAGCCCAGAGGGCCGGTGGACACACAGGAGTTGAAGTTCTGTTTCCTCCTTCGTGGCCCGGTCTCTGGAGGCCCAGCTTGGCTGCCGTCCGCAGGCCACCGCTCCGGGTCCCCCAACTGTGGACACTTGTCTGTGGTGGTCCCAGCCGAGTCCCAGCTTTGGCGGGGGAGAGGGGGGTGCTTCTCCATGGGCCACTGTGCCCCTTGGCTGGTGGGGCTGTGCTGCTTTCCCAGCTCTGACCACCAGGGGGCCCACGGGGTCCGGGAGGCTGGGGCTGCCCACTGAGCACCCTGAGGCAGGGAAGGTGGTGCCCTCCGGGGCCACCCCCACCTGCGCCCTGGGCAGGGCAGTGCAGGAAGTGACTAGAGGTAGGACTGGCCCCTGGGCAGGGCGGTGGCACAGACATCTGGGGCCTTGGCATGCAGAATGAGATCAGGGGGCGCAGCTTTCAGGGCGTGGGGGCAGAGGGTGTGGATGGTGACGCGGTCACACCTCACACCTCCGGGAAGGTTGTAGTGGACACGGCAGCTGTGTCGGTGACTTCCCTAGGGGGTCTGCGTTATTCCCAAATGCGCAGAACGCATGCCTGGTGCCATGGGTGAGGGGATGGGTGGAGTCGGGCAGGAAGCACCCCTTGGCACTGGGTAGGAGTCGGGGGCGCTGCTGATTGGCCTGTAACGGGCATCGTGGGCATGGCACAGCCCTGCCCCAGGCCAGGAGCCCCAAGGACGGGCAGGCTCTGCATTCTGCAGGCGGGCGACCTTGGCCCGGGGAGGTCAGGCAGTGGGCCAGCCAGCCCCGCCCCCTCTTCCCTGCTCTGCCCCCCTGCCCCCGACCGGTGCCAGGAGGACCGGACTCCGGGGCGCGCTGGGGACCGACGCTGCAGCCCAGAGTCCCCAGGGCGCGTCGACCCCCACTCCCTCCGTCCCGCCGGTGGGGCGCAGTCCGGGGTGGGCCGGGGGCAGCGCGGCCCTGAGCTGCCCTCCGGCCGCAGGTGGCCAAGCTGCGGGAGCGGCTGCAGGAGGCGCGGCTGGAGCGCGAGCAGGAGCAGCGGCGGCACACGGCCTTCCTGTCGGAGCTGCGCGCCAAGCTGCACGAGGAGAAGACCAAGGAGCTCCAGGCGCTGCGCGAGGCGCTCATCCGGCAGCACGAGGCGGAGGCGGCGCGCGCCGCCAAGATCAAGGAGGGCGAGCTGCAGCGGCTGCAGTCCCTGCTGCACGTGCTGCGCGACGGCGCGGCCGACAAGGTCAAGACGGCGCTGCTGGCCGAGGCGCGCGAGGAAGCGCGCAGGGCCTTCGACGGCGAGCGCCAGCGGCTGCAGCAGGAGATCCTGGAGCTCAAGGCGGCGCGCAGGCAGGCCGAGGAGGCGCTTAGCAACTGCGTGCAGGCCGACAAGGCCAAGGCCGCCGACCTGCGCGCCGCCTACCAGGCGCACCAGGACGAGGTGCAGCGCACCAAGCGCGAGTGCGAGCGCGACATCCGCCGCCTGGTACGTGCCCCGCGCGCCTCCCGCGCCCCAGCGCGCACCCGCCCTCCCGCGTCCCTCCGTGCACCCTCCCACCCGCGTCCCTCCGCGCACGCGCCCTCCCGCGTCCCTGCGCGCACCCCTTCTTTCCGCTTGCCCTCAGCCTTTCCTTCCCGCACCCCGGAGAGGGACTTTCTGCATGCGGTGCCCTCGGAGGGGCACAGTGGAGTCCCCGGTCCCCGGCTTCTCGCCAGGCCCAACTTTCCCCACCAGGTGGACGGCCTTTGGGTGATCACCAAACCTTGTCAATGCGGGGAACTTCTCTCCTGCAGAATGAGTTCGGGGCCACTGTACCAGCGCGTGGTGCGGGGCAGGTGGGCTGGGTTTGGCGGGTTCGCTGAACAGACCTGTCCCTCGGGTAAGGGGGGCGATGCGACTGGGAGCCGGGGGCGACCCCTGGAAGTCCCGACAACCATGCTTTTATGGGACAGGGATGGGGACAGGGAGGGAGCACTCCCCAGGGCCCTGGGTGTGCCCGAGTGTGTGTGTTTGAGTGTGAGTGTCTGAATGTAAGTGAATGAGTGTGTCTCTGTGTGTGAATGCAAGTGTGAGTTTGTGCATGTGTGTGCATGACTGCATGTGTTTCTGAGTGTCTAAATATGTGAAGTATATTTAAGTATGTGTGTGTGCATGTATGAATGCATGTGTGTCTGTGAGTCTCAGTGTATGAATGCATTTGAATGACTGCGAGTGTGCACATGGGTACATGTGTGCTTATGTGTCTGATTGTGTACTTGAGTGAGTGCATGTGTGTGTGAATATTTGAGTTGTATTTGAGTGAGTGTGTGTATTTGAGTGTGTGTCCATGTATTGAGTGTGTATCTGAGTGTGTGAGTGTGAATATTTGAGTGTGAGTGTGTGTGTGTGTGTGCATTTGTTGCCTCTGCACTAGAGTCAGGAATTGGACCTCCGCAACCGGGAGCTTCTACTGGTTCTTACGGGGCTTCTAGGATTCGTCAGTGGGAGGAGCTCCCCCCAACCCCGGCCTGGTGACACTCTGGGATATTCCGAGTCTGGAGAGTGGCCAATCTGTGAGCCAGGCTGCAGCGGCTGTGGGGGCGCTCCCAGGCCCCATGAGGAGAAGAAGCCCATCACAGCGCCTGCTGTCCAGCCTGCCCCTCCCATTCCTGCAGCCCTAAGCTGTGTGGTGCAAGAGGTGGGCACGGCCGGTTAGTACTGCTTCCCAGCTTGGACTGGCCAGCTGCGGTATTTTGGTATCCACCAGAGATTCGCAGAATTTTGAGAACACCATCAGAGCAGATGGGAAAGAACCGGGAAGGCGCATCTCCAAACCGACCCAAAGGAAGCAGGTGTGGGGCGTGATTGTCAAAGACGTGGAGGGGAGAAGGCAAGGAGGTGTGTGTGTGTGTGTGTGTGTGTGTGTGTGTGTGTGTGTGTGTGTCTGTGTGTCTGTGCATGCGCGCGCGTGCTCATACATGCTCAGGGACCACGCGGTGCTGGGGGTTGAGCTGGACCCAGCACCCCAGGCTGTCACTCTGAACCATCCCTTCAGCCCTGAGGAGGGCTGTTATTAATAGTATAAATAGTAAAAGTAAACTGACGAGCAAAACTTCAAAACAGTTTCAAGGGAAACATCCAAACTGAAAGGAGAGACGGGGAAACCCACGGAGAGTGCTGGAGAACAGTGCATCTGTCTCAGTGAGAGTCTCGGCAGTGCAGCTCACCGCCAGGAGTGGCGCCTCAGCCACAGAGCACTGTCCTGTTCAAGGGGACATGGCACACGTTCGTAAGAATATGCCATATTCCCAGTCGGTGGGTTGTGATTAAGTCGGCCCTTGGAGTCACACATATTTTAGGGGTACAGAAACAGCGAGGGCCAAACAGCTCGGCTTCCATTTCAAGAAGAGAGAACGTCAAATTGAGTTTCATGAGAGTAGAATGAAGGGACTGAGAAGGAGCCAAAATCCCCTCAAAGCAGGAAGTGAAAGCAGCGCCTCTGTCAGCTCCTGAGGCTGCCTGGCGTGCTGTCCGGGACATTCTGAACAGCCCGGGAGAGTGAATTTGACAGGCGGCCAGAGTGGGTGTAGTCCTGAATAAGTATAGAACTGACACCATGAGAAATATAAGGTGTTACGGGCCTGTCGTGCTGAGAAACGGAATCCACGATGGCTGACTTCCCACAGCGAAAGTAGAACCGATGGCTTCATGGCTGAACTCTGCCAAGTATGGACTAGTAAGACTAGTTCTGTGCAATTGAATTTTAACTTTAAAAACATAGACTTTATGCTATTATAAAGAAATAGGGGGCCTAAAGCCTAAGCAGGGAGGGCGCTTGTCTTGAATGTGGCCGCCTGGCCCCATATGGTCTCCTGAGCCCCACCAGGAGTGATTCCTGAGCAACCAGGAGTAAACCATGAGCCCCACGAGGTGTGGGCCCAAAGCAAACCAAAATTTCAAAAGCAGGGGGATAAATACATTTTGCTCCTTTTATTAATTATAACAATGACCTGGATTCCCAAACCAATGCACTTGCAAGAAACCCTGCCTTCTGTTTATATGGATGCATGGACACGGGAGAAGACAGCAACAAATTGAGCCCAGCAGTAAAGGGAAAGGCTAAGAAATATGAGTAAACAATCCACAAATTCGGCTCGTTTTCAGAAACAAAGAGGGCCTCCTCTGCGGCCAGTGAGTGTGTCAGTGATGACAGATTAAATAAAGAAAAGGCTGATGGGCCATTTTAAAAGATGTCACCACACACTTGACGAAGTTCAACTCGGCGGCCTGATTTCTCAGCACACCCTGATTAGAGTGAAGTTTCCTAACGCAGTGCCAAGCGCTGATAAGAATGAGCGTGTGGGTGCTGTGCTGAGGTGCAGGGGCCGTTTCCCCTCCTGCAGGTGAGCAAGACCCCGCCTCACCCCACCTTGACATTGCACTGACCAGGGGCTCCAACACAAACACCAAGACCAGCCTGAGAGGGTGGGCAGGAGGAAGTGCAGCGGGCGGGAGTGGGCAGGCCGTGGCACGCTCCCCGCCGTGAGGAGTGTCCTCCGAGCAGCTTGAGGCGAAGACGCAGACGCAGAAACCAGCCCCCGGGAAACAGGGCCCAGAGAACAGAACCGAGAGGGCCTCAAAGCGCCGTCTGTGACAACAAGGAAGCTCATCTTCTCCCGGGGCCTCCCGGTGACGGACCTTACAGAGGGGCTGCCTTCCCCTGTGCTCGTCTGCGTAGCAGGCCGAGGGTCTTGAGAACCCCGTCTGCTGGGCACCGTGCCAGAGTACTGGGAACAGTCGCACCACCCTTCCTCACACCTCCCCGGGTCCCCGCCACTGACGTCCCCTGGACGTGAGACCAGGTCTCTCTTCTCAATGCTCTGCAGACTCACTCGAACCCAGAGCTGACTCGGGCTGTGGCCCCTCGGGCCACGATGCTGCGCTCCTTCAGGGTGCTGTGGCCAGCGCAGCCTGAGCCCTGCAGGAGGCCGAGACAGCTTCTGAGCGACCCAGCCCGGAACCGAGTGTCCATAGCTCTGCTGCCCGTGGGGTGTTGACAGAAAAGCCCGTCCCCATACATACGCACACACACACATGCACACGCATGCACACACGCACACACACACGCATACATGTGCACACACACATGCACACACACGCACAGTGCAGGGCCCAGAGTGCTTCCTCACGGGCTGCAGAGTGCCCTGGTTCTGGGTCAGGGCGGAGACGCCTCTCCCCTGCCCGAGTGTGGCCTGTCGTGCTAAGGCAGCAGCCAGGGTACGGAACGTGCTTGTGGGGTGGTGTGTCCCCCAGCGCAGAGGCAGACCTGTGCCCACGTGAGACAGCCCCGCCCTGCCGCTTCCTCTGTGTGGCCGAGCTAGTGACCCCTAACCCCCCAGAGGGGTCAGCCTGGCGGCTGCTCTGTGCTCCGAGCCTGCCAAGGGGCCGCCTCCTTCCCCTCTCTTAGAAGGGCTGTGGCTTCCCCAGCCTGCAGTGGGGTCCGTGGGGGGAGCAGGTGAGTCGCCTCCAGTGGCCGCAGTGGACGCTTCTGCAGTGGCTCCCAGGGAGACTGCCGGCAGGGGGCAGCAGGGGGCAGCGGCCCAGCCTCCCGCCCGGAAAGCGGCTCTGAAGCCTGGGAGAGTGACGCCCGCTCTCTGCTCGCAGGCTCCTTGCTCCCCCTGCTGGCTTCTTTTGCACCCAGGCTGCAGCAGTGCCCGGCAGGCCGCCACAGAGGGGGCCACGGAGGGGGCCTGCCAGTCATGCCGGGTGGGCAGGCTTCCTGCTGTGTGTGTGTGTCCCAGTGTGTGTGTCCATTCTGGTGTGCATGTGTCCATCCATCCCCCTGTGTGTCCATGCCAGCATGTTCATCCATCCCAGTATGTGTGTCCATCCATCCTAGTGTGTGTCCATCCTGGTGTGTGTCCATCCTGGGGTATCCATCCCGGTGTGTCCATCCTGATGTGTGTGTCCATCCCGGTGTGTCCATCCATCCCGGGGTGTGTGAGTTCTGCAGTGTGACCGCCCCTTCCCCGACTGACTGCCACCCTCTGCTGCCCAGTCAGTGCTGTCCCAGCTCTGAGGGCTGTGACTGGCCGGCTGACACCCGCCTGCTGCCTGGGGTCAGCCCCCCGTTGGCTGTGGGGTCGCAGACAGCTGGCGCATCTTCTGGAGGCTCTCCTTGGCGTCTTCCGGGCAAGCTGGGCGGCTCTGGGTGAGGGGTTCTGGGATGGGGTGAAGATGCAGCTGGCGGGAGGGGGCACTCCTGGAACCTCAGACTCCAGCGTGGTATGCAGGGAGGGGGCAGCGGGTGGGCTGAGAGAGCAGTAGTGGTGGCCGTGGGGGCAGAGAGGGACCGGAGCCGCCTGCTCTGAGGCGCTGCTGGGGCCCGGATTGATTGATCTGGACAGGCAGGCTGGGTTCCAGCATCCCCCTTCTGCCCTGGACCATGCCTGCAGGGAGGTGGCCCCGCCACCTGCCGACCCACCAGCCTGTCCACCTACCAGCCCACCTGCCTGCTGGCTTGTCCACCCCACAACCCGCCGCCCACTGCCTGGTCCGAGTTCAGCTGAGTGGCCTAGACCTGCTAGACCTTCTGGGCAGCAGCGAGGCCTCTTGGGGCCCCAGCCTGCCCAACGGGCGCCTGCTCCTTCTTGGTTTCAGATGGACGAGATCAAAGGGAAGGACCGCGTGATCCTGGCCCTGGAGAAGGAGCTGGGCGTGCAGACCGGCCAGACCCAGAAGCTGCAGCTCCAGAAGGAGGCGCTGGACGAGCAGCTGGTCCAGGTCAAGGAGGCCGAGCGGCACCACAGCAGCCCCAAGAGGGAGCTTCCCCCTGGCATCGGGGACATGGCTGAGCTCCTGGGCGCCCAGGTGAGCTGACCCGCCTGCCCCCGCCCTCCCCTGCCCGCCTCCACCTGCCCCCGCTGCCCTGCTGGAGCTCTTCCTCCCCCTGAAGCCTGGATGGCAGCTTGGCACGCTGAGACAGGCTGGACCGGGCTGGGTCCTTCATTCCGAGGTGCTCACCCTGCGTGCAGGGACCGCAGGGTGCCTGAGGGACCCAGGCCAGGAGAGAGTCAGAGGGGCTGTGGGTAGGGCTGAGGCCTTGCATCCTGGAGGTGAGGTCACGAAGCCGAGCAGGACTCAGGGTGTCGTCAGGTGGCCTGACCCTGGACACCCCCGTGAGGCTCTTGCCTTCTGTGCGTGCTGCGTGTCCTCAGAGGCACCCGGGGGTTGGGAGCCCCCCAACCTGCTCAGGTGCTTCTGCCCCGGGGCGCCTCTGCAGGACCAGCACATGGACGAGCGCGACGCCAGGCGCTTCCAGCTGAAAATTGCTGAGCTGAACTCGGTGATTCGGAAGCTGGAGGACAGAAACACGCTGCTGGCCGACGAGAGGAACGAGCTGGTAAATGGGCTCAGCGGGTGCAGGGACGTGGGCCCGGGCAGCCCCAGTCTGCAGCAGGACACGGAGGTGCCCACCCCTGCTGGTTTCTTTCTGGGCAATAAAAATAAGATCACCTGTTGCTCCCTGGCCTTTGGGCCAGGCAGGAGTGTGCCCCCAACAGAGCTGGCGTGGTTCCGCGAGAAGGCAAGAAAGGGTGTTGGTACAGTGGGGCCCCTCTGGCCAACGACACGGCCCGGGCTGCCCAGCGAGTGTCTGGTGGTCATTACGAATGTTACCTGGAATGGCCTGAAGCTTGTTCACAAATCAAACAATGAAACCTTCGCGGCCCAGGGCAGCTGTTTCTGGAGGCAGACCTCCAGGCCTCGGCATGTGTGGCTGGGCTCATCCATCAAATGCCCTTCGCATGAGAGCATACAGGGTGCTGAGTCATTAGTTTTTAGAAGCGAACCTTAACCTCTGGCTAAAACTAGGAAACCCTTAGAGAAATAACAGTTTCCTGGCCACGTCTCCGTGTTCTGGGCCCGCAGCCTCATCTCAGAGACAGCCGCGTGTAAACCCCGTGGTGCCTGTCAGGCTGCCGCCGCCTCTGAGTTGGGTCACGGGAACTGGCATCCCTCCACCTGGCCGAAGGAACCCTTGGTCCACGCCACCAAGTCACGCTTCAGGCTCAACCGACGTCTGCCTGTGGCTCTGCTCTTGGCCCAAGGCGCACGTGCCAGTCGCCTGTGCAGCCCAGGGGAAGAGAATCACAGCCCCGACCCCTGAAGTGTCCCCAGAGGTGGGAAGGTGCCCGCCCATATCCTCCGGAAGCTGTTGGCCATGGCGTCCCCACGCTCTCTGCGCCAGGAAGAGGCGTGGACGCCCTGGTGGGTGGCAGGGGCCACCTCCTGGGCACTGCCCCCGCTTTCTCATGGACTGCTTCTGGCCCTAACCCTGAGCTGGCCGCCTCTCGTCATGCTGGGGGTGGTGCCTGTGGATCGGAGTCCTTCCTGGCCACTCTGGGGGGACTTCTGGAAGTAGGGCCCAGGGGCAAGTGGCATGTTTAGTTTTTGTTTGTTTTGAGCCCACTCCTGCGATGCCCAGGGCTTCCTCCTGGCTCTGTGTCCAGGGTCACTCCCAGACGGGGCCCCCCTGCGCGCTGGCCTCGCGTCTCAGCTCTGATGGCCACACTCGAGACTGCGTCTGCAGGCAGCCTCCGTGTCCCTGGTGCTCCCAGTACCTTCTTGGTGCACCTTCTTGGTCTTGCTCCCTGTGGTCAGGCTGGGGGCAGTGTCCTTCTGGGGGTCCCTGGGAGAGAGAGGCAGGCAGGGCCGCCCAGTTTGGACGTGGGGGTGTGGGGGTACCAGTCAGAAGGACGGCGAGAGGCTTCTCCCCGCTGTGTCCCTCTGAGGGAGCTGCTCCCTCCATTCCGTTCACAGCGGACATAGACCGAGGCCCCAGCGGGCGGGGCGCGACTGTGCCCTGGGTTTCGCGTCCGGCAGGGCGCCTCCGTTTGTCTGGGTTCTCTGACACCCCCATCTGCTTCCTGGCCTGGCCTCTAGTGGCATGGTGTGATGGATTGTTCTAGAAACCTCCTGCTCCCAAACTCCAGGGGCTGGGGGCTCTACCGAAGGGCTGAGCCTGTCCACTCCAGGGCTGGGGCAGCATGTGCACTTTTGTGCCCTGCCCGGGGCCTGGCACCAAGGGTCTCGACTCTCGAGTCTGAGTGGGAGGAAAGAGCCCGGGGGAGGGTGTCCTAAACGGACTCGGTCAGGGCCCCAGGCGAAGTGTGCAGACTGGGGGCTCCCAGCACATCTGGGGGTCCCTGGCACTCCTGTGTGAGGCCGGGACACACTCGGGCTCACGGGTGTGGGGCTGTGCGGTTCCAGCAGCCCCCGGGACGTGGGAGCGTGGGGTCAGGCCCCGACGCTGGCCCGTGTCTGCCCGCAGCTGAAGCGCTCGCGGGAGACCGAGGTGCAGCTGAAGCCGCTGGTGGAGAAGAATAAGCGGATGAACAAGAAGCACGAGGACCTGCTGCAGAGTATCCAGAGGATGGAGGAGAAGATCAAGAACCTCACGCGGGAGAACGTGGAGATGGTGAGCCCGTGGGGCCCTGCCTGCACCCACTGAGCAGGGGCGTGTGGGGGAGGCGTGGCATGGTGGGCGTGACCGGGGGTGTGACGGGGTAACGGGTGTGATGGGGAGTCGCGGGGCGTCATGGTGTGCTGTGGTGGGTGTCACGGGGTTGGCTGGGTGCCGAGGTGTGGTAGTGGGTGTGACTGTTGTGCCATTGGGTGGGTGTGGGAAGTGTCCCCTTCCCTAGCTCCCGCGGCTGTCCTGGACATTGGCCTCCTGTCCCCCGAGGCCCTCCAGTGCTGCCCAGTCCTTCCCCTCAGCAGGGGCCATAGTCGGGGCTTCCTGGGCGCTGGGAACCAGGGAACCCTCTAGCTCCGCCCCAGCCTCCTGCTCCCCCTCCTCCTCCTCCTCCTCCTCCTCCTCTGCAGCCTTTCCCCTCCCCCACCCCCCACCCCCGCCTCACTGAGCACTACCCGCCCCCATCCAGAAGGAGAAGCTGTCCTCGCAGGCGTCGCTGAAGCGCCACGCGTCCCTGACGGACCTGAGCCTGACCCGGGACGAGCAGGAGATCGAGTTCCTGCGGCTGCAGGTGCTGGAGCAGCAGCACCTCATCGACGACCTCTCACTGGTGGGTGTGGGGGCGGTGAGGGCCCCCCAAGCAGCAGCCCCTCGTACTGAAAGGGGTCCCTGCTCCGGGGGCGGTTTCCAGGGGGGTTTCCAGCCTGTCCCGGGGCGGGGCAGGTCGGGATGCGTCTCGCTCATGGTCTACCTCTAGCGCCCTCGGGATCCCACGCCCCACTGGGGTCCAGCGCCCGCTGGGTGCCCCGCCTCACTGCAGGAGTCCTTGCTCCCCTCTGCCGGGACAGCCGGAGCCTGAGACTATCGTGTGTCCCCGGGTGGCTCCAAGCCACGGGCCGCATGGCAGCCGCCACCCCTCAGCCCCTGCGGACTGGTCATTCTCAGCCCCGGCCCCTCAGCTGGGGAGACGGGGGGGGGGTGCTCACGGAGGGGGGTGCTGGGCTGTGCTGGGCAGCCCCTGCCACTTCCGTCCACAGGAGAGAGAGCGGCTGCTGCGCTCCAGAAGGCTGCGGGGGAAAGGCCTGAAGCCACCCAAGGTGAGGGGCGTGGGGCCTGGGGAGATGCTAGGCGTGGGAAGCGGGGCCCACCCCTTCCTGCCTACCACCCCCTTTCCAGACAGACTCAGTCAGGGCCCCGGCAAAGCCGCCGCCAGTGGGCTGAGAGAAAGCAGCCCGCCAGCCCGCCCCCAAATCCGGGCCGGAACGCCATTCCAGAGTCACTTTGGGAAATGCTGATAGAAGGGGCCCCAGGCTCCAGGCACGGCCACCCCAGACACCAACGTACAGGGCTTGTAGCTCCCGCCCTGCAATGCGGGGGCCGCTGGGGCTTGTGCTGGAGGAGGCGGCTGGGAAAGCGGGTGCCCGCGTGTGGCAAGAGGGAGCCAAGCTGGGCCCCCGCAGACACCCACGGGCCTGGCTAGGGTGTCAGAAGGGCCACAGGGAGGAAAGGGGCTGGAGCTTAGCAGACCTGGGTGAGGCCTCGCGGCACCAAAAGAAGAAAATGAGACGGGGTGAGATGAGACGGGGTGGGATGGGGTGAAATGGGGTGGGGTAGGGTGAGGCGGGATGAGATGGGGTGAGACGGGGTGAGACGGGGTGGGATGGGGTGGGATGGGGTGAGATGGGGTGGGGTGGGGTGGGGTGGGGTGAGACGGGATGGGGAGAGATGAGATGGAATAGGGTGAGACGGGGTGAGAGGGGGAGGGTGGGGATGGGCTGAGCTCCCGGGGGAAGGGCTGGGTCACAGGTCAGTGGGGCCCATTCCCTCTGCATGGCGACGGCCCCTGTGGCCCCGAGCTACTTCTCTCTGGAAAGACGATGACGACGACGGCCGACGGCCGGGGAGCTGCCAGGAGAGGGGACAGGGAAGGCGAGCACGGAAGTGGGAGGGAGACAGAGAGACGGACAGACATCGTGCAGGCTCTGCATTCCAGGCTTTGGCTGTGCCAGGCTCCTCTCACCCTCTGGCACAGGCCTGCCCTGTGTGCCTTGGCCATCTTCTAGGATGCCGGCCACCTGGGGTCAGAGGCCACCTGCCTCTGGGTGAGCTCATGTGGCCTGGTCAGTGGACCCGCCTCCTCTTGGGGAAGATCTTCAGCTCCAGGCACGGCAGGACCCAGCCACCCCTACCCCACCCCCAGCTTCCCTGCCACTTTCTCACGGGCTCTCACGGCCACCTGGGCCGCAGCCGCGGGCTTCTGCGCATTTGTCTGGCCAGCATCTGTGGCGGGAGGGCAGCTGACAGTCTGTTGGGGTCTGACCCATGTCCCTGCCTGGCTCCTGGCCCCATCCTGTTCCCCAGGCCACACGGGTGAACACCCTTTCACCTGGGCTGGCCCCAGGCCCGTCTCTGACAGCGAGACTGACGGGTGGTCCGCCTGAAGGGCGGACAGTGGCTGGCTCCACCTGACGCCCAAGGCCTTCTTGGAGCTTCTTCGGTGTTCTTGGGGCTGGTGTGTTACTGGGGGACGTGTGGACAATGTCAGAGATGCGGATGTTCATGCTGTCCTTCTGTGAATTGTCCTTTGCCCTTTGTTGTAACTTTAGCGACTGACAGAGGGCAGTATTTTTCCCTTCTTTGTACAAACTGATGGGGTCTGTCTAGAGAAGGTCACTGGGCGCTGGCCCTGGGTGTGGCCCCCAGGGCAGACATGGCTGCCGGCTCTGTGGGCGCGGTGGAACCTGGGTTTCCAGGCACACGAGTGTGACGAGTCAGGCGCCGGGGGAGGCTGTGCTGGTGACACGGTTGCTGTGCTGTTCCCAGGGGCCCCTCCAGCCACCGGGGGCCCCAGGCCTGGACCGGATTGGCAGCGGGAATGCGCGGGGCCCCAGGGAGTCAGTCAGCGCGGAAGCCGTCCTTGGTGGTGACGAACGCACCCCTGAAAACTGGCTCTGCTCCGTGCCGCCCATACCCCAGCTCTCTGCTCGGGCTGACACCCTCTTCTCAGCGGAGCCCGCCTGCCTGAGCGCCCACTTCCAGCACCCCAGCAGCCCCGGGCCCGGGAAAGGAGGTGCTTTGGGGGAAGCTGGTGCTTTCTCCAAGGACTGGGGCTCGGGGAAGGGCCGCTGCCCGCCATGCAGCACTGAACTCGTCTGGCCCAGGCTGGCAGCGGGGCTGCCCCATGGAGTACATCCTCTTTGTGCTCTACTTCTCCTTCTTCCTCTGTCTGTGCGCCCTGGTGTGTCTGTACTTCTCGGGCTGCCAGGAGATGACCTACAGGCATGAAGGTAAGCTCGGCTACCGGCCGTGTGCCAGCCCTGCAGGCTCGGAGGGGCCAGGGACGCCCGGCTCGGCGGCAGGCACTGGCGCCTTCGAGGGGGTGGGGCCTGGCAGAGAAGGTCCGGGCTGGGGTGAGACACAAGCAGGGAGGACAGCTGGGGCCTGGCATCGCACCTGCGCGAAGATGAGGGCACCCAGGCTGCGCTCGCCTGACCCAGCTTCACAGTGGCATTTGGGTTGCAGGGGAGGGCACGGCTGGCGGATGACAGTGTCCTCTATGCGGGGGGCCTGTGGGGCACCAGCGTGGCAGCCGCCCCCTGGAAGCCCCCTCACTCAGGGAGTGCCAGGAAGAGGAGGCGATGGAGAGGGAGATTCCGCGGGACCTTGACTCTGACCTGCCATCGAGAGGGTTCTGTCTCCCAGCCGTGGGGAAACCGAGCTGGAGAAAGGGTTCCTACTCCTCTGAGAAGCCCCTGGGCTTCCCCCCACGCATGCATGGGCCACGCCTCACTGTGCCCGGCCCCTTCAGGAAAGTGGCGCTTCTCCCCAGCTGCCCAGCGGCGGCTTGGAGTCCTGGCCAGCTTCAGGGTGCCCTGGCTTTCAGGGGCTCTGTGCATCTGTGCTGGCCACCGGAATGCAGTGCCTACCCAGCCGGAAGCCCCCGCGGAACACCCCGGCCGCAGCTGTGGGTGAGGAGAACGGCTGCATGGGGCCGGCAGCAGTCACCACGCCTTGGCCAGCTGCCAGTCAGCAGCTGCCCTGCGGCAAACAGACGGTCCCCTGTGGCCAGGCAATTAGCGCTGTTTACAGAGAGGGGCCTCCAGAGGCTGCCCCGAAAGTGAGGAGCCTGGGGCTCCCGTGGCAGTGGGGGCGTGGGGGTCACTTGCTGCTGTCACCGGGCAGCGTGGCCATGCTCCCTCAAGGTGGCAGCGTTGGGTGCCCGACCTCAGCTCTGGTGACTCGTCTGCAGCGGAGACCTGCGTGTCTGAGAAAGATGAAGCCAGCGGCCCTCACATCTCTGCCCCGTCTCCTGGGGCGAGGGAGGGGATATGGGGGGAACCCGCGGGCGGGGCCTGGACGTGGAGCTCAAGGACGGACACTGTTTCTGCCGCACCTGCTGCGCGCCCCACCCCAGGAGCACCCATGCTTCTGTCCACCCTGGCTCCCGTTCCCCAGGGGTCAGCGGTCACCACCAGCCACGTGTTTTCCCATCAGTGGCCCGAGTGCTGGGGAGAAACATACGGAGGATGAGAGGAGGGCGGGCAGGGCTCGGAGGGGCCCGGACACGGGGTTGGGCGCGGCCCCATCCGACGAGGGGCGAGGTGGAGACAGGACGGACACGTGGGTTCTGGGAGGAGCTGACAGGTAGGGCTAGGGCGGGGCTGTGGCACGAGGGGCATGGCCACATGCAGGTGGGCACGTCCACAGATGGGGGCGTGGCCATGAACAGGCGGGGCGGGGCCACAGGCGGGGGGGGGGCGTGGGCACATATTGAGGCGTGGTGACCTGCTGCTTCCTTTTTGTCAGTCCTCCTTTCTCCCGTGGCCTGGATTATCTATCACAAAAAGTCAGACAACAGTCCCCTCTTAGGGGGGTTGCTTCAGTGTGGCCCACCCTTGCCCAGGGTGTGCGCCCCCCGCCCCCCCTCTTGCCGGTGTCTGGCAGGAAGTGTCCCTGGGGTCTGTCTCCGGCTCCCCTCTCCTTAGCGCAGGCTGCTGGCGGCCCTTCCCACCCCGGGCACAGTGCCCGCACGTCCTGACTGTGCCCAGGTGGGGAGCTGTGTGGAGAAGCAGCTGTGCCCGGGGGGCTGAGTGACTCGAGACACCCCAGCAGGTCCTGAGCGCAGAGCCAGTAGCGTCGCCTGTGCTGACAGTGGCCACGACTCGTCCGGGCTGTTATTAGCCACCGCTTCCCAGAATGCCCCGGGAGCAGGGGCACCCCTCCGTCTGACTCTCCCGCGCACCTTGCTGTTCACAGAAGCATGTTGTGGAGACATTTTTTGGATTTGACGAGGAGTCAGTGGACTCAGAGACCTTGTCTGAGACCTCGTGCACCACGGACAGGACGGACCGGGCCCTGGCCACCCCCGAGGAGGACGTGGATGATGTAAGCCCACCCGGTGCTGTGTTGCTCCCGCCTCTGAGGGGCCTTCTCCTGGGATATGCCTGGCCACGCGTACACATGGACATGCAGAGATGTGGACCTGCACACTCGCATGCACACAGGGCATACACACACCAGCATCCATGTGTACATGCACGCACACATGGCACTCACATGCACACACGGATATGCACATGTGGACATGAACACACAAGCATACACACACATGGGCACACATGCACACATGGACAGACATGGAGATGCACGCACAGACATTCGCACACACGGACACACACGACCTACTGGAAATGGTGGCAGTGCCTCCCTCCCGCTTGTTCTCCACGTGGAGAGAAGCCGGGCTACACAGGGTGGAGCCAGTCAGCACCTCTGGCTCCCCAGGCTCAGCTAATGGGTCCCACTGCTCCTGCTTGCAGGCAGTCCTCCTCCTCTCCTGCGTCTCTGCAGAGCCCGATTTCATCCCAGAGAGAGCCTGGGAATGGACAGTTCTGGCTGGAGGGGTCCCCAACCACCGCTCCCCTTTCGCGGACGCTGGGGCCCTGTTCCTGCCAACTGCGCCAGGTCCCCGGGGCTTACGTGAGGGGGGCGCGAGGCCCGCCTCCATCCCCTGGCCTGTTCCCTCTGCCTTCCCCACGTTCCCTCTGTCCTTGTCCACGCTGTCCAGGCCCCCAGCAGAGAGGAGGCGGACCTGCGCTTCTGCCAGCTGACCCGGGAGTACCAGGCGCTGCAGCGGGCCTACGCGCTGCTGCAGGAGCAGGTCGGGGGCACGCTGGACGCTGAGAGAGAGGCCCGGGTGAGTGGTCACCCCACGAGTCAGCGACTGTCACGCGTCTCCTTAGGAAGCTGGGCCCCACCCCCAGCTGGCCTGTGAAATCGGGACCATCGGGCGCTTCCTGCTGGGGAAAGTCCTAGACAGCCCCGAGCTGGCACGGCCAAGCGCCCGCCCCCAGGTCACCATGCCCTCTCCCCTCTCCGCTGCAGACCCGTGAACAGCTGCAGGCCGACCTGCTTCGGTGCCAGGCCAAGATCGAGGATCTGGAGAAGCTCCTGGTCGAGAAGGGGCAGGTGAGCTGGCCTGGCTGTCGTGGGCAGAGGTCATCCCTCCACCTGCTTGCTTGGCTCGGTGCTGCTCGACCTCGCGCGCCAGGGCCTGGGAGACGGGTTAGCAGCTCTGAGAGGCGCAGCTGGGGAGTTCTACTGCCCAGTTCCCCGGGTACCCCACTTCTCCTCCTCAAGGCTGCCCTGGCCGTTCCTGGAGGCCTGCGGGCAGCACCAGATGGCAGAGCCCAGGCCCAGGTTTTGGCAGGCGCTTGCTGTCCCCTGCAGGCCACCTGGCCAGCTGGGCATGGGCAGCGGTGCTGGAATCCTGCTCTCTCCTCACTGGGGCTCCCTGGCTCGCAGACCCTGGGGCGGGGGGGAGGCTGTCAGGAGGGGATTCAGGCTGGAGTGAAGGCAGGAAGGTCCACCCCGCGTTGTCCGGGATGGGCTGGCCAGCCCCTCTCCATGAGAGGACCCCCGAGCTGGCCCTTGCAACTGCGTGCGGGGGACCAAGCAGACAGGGCCTGGGAGGGGCCCAGGGGACATTCAGCAAAGACATGGACCCCGGCCAGCTGGCCACAGGGTCAGGCGCTGCCCCACTGGGGGCATGAAGGGCTCTGGCAGCAGAGCTGCCCACTGTCCTCGGCTTCTAGGTGGGGCGGGGGCGTGGGGGGAGGCGGCCACGCTGGCTCTGTCACCCCAGAGAGTCCTGGACCCATCTAGCTTTTTCCTCAGGACGCAAAATGGGTGGAAGAAAAGCAGCTGCTCATCAGAACAAACCAAGACCTGCTGGAAAAGGTGAGAAGCGGGCACGGCCGCGGCTTAGGGCCTGACCCGCCCCCAGGAGCCACGTGACCCAGACACCCGCCCCCCTCCATCCAAGCGACCGAGACAGCCAGCCCCATCTTAGGACCCCACGTGACCTAGCCCAGCCCTCACCTGCCCATCCTCGTGACCTAGAGACCCGCCCCCGTCCACGTGACTAGAGACCAGCTCCTCCCCCATCCATGTGACCTGGACTCCTGCCCTGCCCCCAGGATCCATGTGACCTAGACAAATGTTCAGAATCACACATGGCCTAGAAACACACACAAAGACACACACACCCCTGCCCCCTCAGGAACCCATGTGAGGCAGACACTCTCCCCCCGCCCCCATCGAATTCCACCACATGTGACCTCCATACCGGTCCTGCCTCTTGTGGTCTGTATGACCTGTATGCCCGCCCTGCTCAGGGTCGTGGACACCTGGATGTCCGCCCACCTAAGTCCCCCATCGCCTGCATGCCTGCCCCTGCATATCCCGGGCCCAGACTTAGCAGGGCTCATGCCCCCCCCCCCCTCCCTGGAGTCTCCTCCAGGCCTTTCCAGTCAGAGCACTGGCTCTGGTTCTACCCCCTAGGGCTGAGCCTTACGAAGGGCAAGGGTCCCTCCCTCCAGGGTACAGAGGCACCCTGAGGCCCCTCAGGCTGGACCCACGGGCAGGTCAAATGGCCTGGCTTCCCCCTCTGCCCTGGAACTTCCCAGTTGCCTTGGAGGAAGTGTGAGGCCCTCCAGTGCCCTCCTGAGGGCCAGTCCGTGGGCTTTCGTTTCAGTGCCTTTATTGAATGTTGTAGAATATCTCCCGCAGCCCCCAGAGATGTCAGGTGGGTCTGGGCAGGCTCTGTGCAGCCCCTGTAGCTTCTGCTGTGGAGCAGAGTGGCTCAGACTTAGCTTTCAGGAACGTTCTAGAAGGTTGACGTGGACGAGCCTGCTATGAGAGCGTGCATGTGTGTAACTTGGCTCAGTTCCGGCTCTATCACTGGCCACAGTGAGTGGCTACTCCCATCCTGTCTCTCCACAGCTCTGGGGGGCCTGGGCCAGGACCCTCATCATATGGGAGAGGTGGACCGTCCCTGTCGCTGTGGTCCTGGGAGCCAGGGCCTGCCGCCATGGTTTCCCAGAGCCCAGTAGGAGTGTCCAGTGGGTGTTGACCACTGACCATGGCGCGTGCTGGTTACTTCATTCTGGTCAACCAAGTTGGCTGGGAAACTGGGCTGTGGGCCTTAGAGGGCTTCCTGGCCCTCCCGATGACCTGAGATCCCAGGAGAAGCTCTGGGACACCTGGGACAGTGACTGCCTTTGCTGGGCTGTGTGTGTGTGGGGGGGGGCGGGGGGTCAGAAACGCCCTGGTCTTCCTTCTGCCTGACCTTAGGGAAGGGATCCTCGTTGCCCAAGCCTCAGTTTCCCTAGCCTTCATTTAGCCTGCAGATGCGTGAAGAGAGCTCGGCTCACCTCTGGGTATGTCTACTCTAGATTTATAGGCTGGAGCTGGAAGAGAACCAGCTGAAGAACGAAATGCAAGACGCCAAGGACCAGAACGAGCTGTTAGAGTTCAGAGTGCTAGAACTGGAAGTAAGAGACTCTCTCTGTTGTAAACTCTCAAACGGAGCAGACCTTCCCTTTGAGCCCAAACTGAGATTCCTGTGATGCTCCCAAAGGTCTGCAAGCATGTGTAAAGGGGCGTGTCCTAGCTGTTCCCCCCTCCCCCCCTTCCTTTTTTAAATCTGTATGTTCGGAATAATTTCACTGCCTTAACTGTTCTGGAGAGAATGCTCACCGGTCTTTGGACATGTACCAGAGCTAATATATTTATCGCCTACGGCTTGTTTTGCACTTAATAAAATAATTTGGTTTTGCAATATTTTGCCTTTTTTTTGTGTTCATTTCCATGACGACTTCTTTCCTGCATGCATAGTTGCCTGGGGGGCTCAGCAGCCGGCCCCCCTCCCGGCACACCTTTTTACCTGACTTTGCATGCCGTGAAGCCCAATTTTGAGTGAGCCGGGCCGGCCCAGCCCCACAGCTGACCTAGAGAGCGTTCCCTGCTCAGGTGGCTCGTTTTCTCTTTGCCCAGGTCGACCGGAGGTAAGTAAAGACATTGTCCCAGGAGTTCCTGGCTCAGGGGGTGAGTCATGGCCCCAATCTTCCCCTGCGCCCCCCTCAGCCGCCTGGCAGGAGGCCAGAACTGACACCCAGAGCTGTCTGAACCTTCCATGACCCCCAGCACAGAGTCGGATCCAGCATCAAATGTTGCTTGGAAGTCTTGCCTGGTGTGTCACTGTCTCGCTTTGCTACCATGTTACTCCATAAGCTGTTTTTTTTTTCTTCAATGGTTGGTTTCATTTGAAAATCATCAACATTTCATTATTTTTAAAAAATTATTTTGTTTTTTTCCAGTGAAGCAAGATAGTAGTTTTTTTTTTTTTTATTGAAACATAGATGTGAGAGGAGAGAAAGAGGGGAAATGTGTTCAGGTGCGAACACGTACTGCAAGGGGCCAGAAAAGCCAGCAAGACGCCTGTCCCAGGGAGCGAGCCCAGCCGTCAGCCTCGGCTTCTAACCCTCCTCACCCGGCTGGGACGCCCCTCAGCGCCCTCAGGGTGCTCCGCCTGCGTGTATGGGCCCCGAGGCTTGCTCTGACTGACTTCTCCATTTGCACAAACCTCCTGGGGCCACGGCAGGGCTGCATGGGTAGGGCCGCCTGGCAGTCCCCTGGGCCGGCTCTGGGGCGCCACCTTCTCCTCACAGCTTTGCTCAGGGGCCTCAATGCGCTGACGTGGCTCCAACCTCCTCAGAGCCCTAGTAAACGAGTTTTCCACTTGGTTCCTGTAGAGACACTCTCTTCTCCTGTGGGGACGCTGGAAGGAAGCGTGGCGGGTAGGGGCCCCTAGGGCCTGGCCGGAACCTTTGGCTCTAGGCCAGCTGGGCCTGGGCTTTGTGGAAGTGACTGGATTAACCCGGCTTCTCTCTCCTGTCGCCCTGTGCCAGAGCTCCTCATGAGACCCCCGCCCGCTAGGGCCCTTCCTGGGCTCCTTCTCTGCGCCTGCACCAGCCTCCCTGACGTTTCGAGCCCACCCCCACTAGCCAGAGTCCTGCCCGCTCCCCCAGGCCAGCTGAGGTCTCACAAGGGACTAAAGGCTCACACCCACTCCCCCCACGCACTCTCGTCCACCCCCACACTCACAATGACGCACACGTACACTCTTACACAAATCACATTCATGCAGTCCCACATGACTCCCACGTACACACTCATACACCCACGCACTTATACGCACACTCACACACTCCTAACGCAAGTGCTAAAACACACACACGCCTCTTCACTGACTCACACATCCCCTTCACACACATACACATTCTCACACACACACCCCACTCACACACATACACATTCTCACACACAGACACCCCCTCACACACATACATCCCCACACTCTTCTGTGTACACATTCTCACACATACTCACATCCCACTCACACACACATACACATTCTCACACTCACACCTCCCTCACACACACTCACCCCCCTCACACACATACACTCACACCCCCTACACACATTCTCACACTCATACCCTACTCACAGACATTCTCTGTCTCACACACACATGCTGATACACCTCCACGCTCATACGCAGACACTTGCATCTGCACACACTCATACACATACACATGCGCACACTCTTACACACAGACACACCCACCGCCACAACATTCCTGGTCACCCCCACAGACGCAGGACAGCGACCGTGCGGGGCGACCAAGGCAGCCGTGATCCGGTCCTGCTCGTGGCCTCAGTCTCCGTCTCAGTGAGAGGTGACATCTGGGGACATGGGCGATGTCGCCCTGGACGGCCCGTCCTAGCTGGGAGCCCTGACCCAGGAGGCTCCGTGCCTGGCGGGCGCGGGCGCCACTAATGCTTCCTCCCTAGCCATAGGTAAGACGCCCCCGGGCGCCCACGCAGGAGGGGGCTTCGGCCTGGAGGACAGCCGGGCCAGCGGGCAGCGGCGGGCGCGGCAGGACAGAGGTGTGGGCACAAGCCGGTCGGGTTCTGTGTTTCAACCCCGTCTTCTCCCCAGGAGAGAGAGCGGAGGTCGCCGGCCTTTAACCTCCAAATCGGCGCCTTCCCCGAGAATGCCAGCAGCGCGCTCCAGCTGTTCTGTCGTCAAGAAGGAGTGAAGGTAGCGCGCGGGGCGGCTGGGGCCACGGGGAGAGGACGGGCTGAGGACAGCGGTCCCGTCTGGCCAGGCCAGCAGCCGACTCAGCACCACGCTGGCTGCGGCCACCCAGCGCCATTCTGTTCTTCCCAGCTTGGCTGGATCGGGTGTGAGGGCTTCCTGGAGGCCCTGTGCTCAGGGACGGCTCCTGGCGGGCTCGGGGCTCTCCAAGGTGCTGGGCTGGAACCCTGGATGGGCTTCGCCCTCCGGCAGCGCCGCCTCTCGGCCTCCCCCGCTGTCTTGGCAAAGGTGGAGCCCCCGTCGCCTCTCTTCTGTCTCTGGTGCCTGTCTGGGGCACACCTGCCCACAGGAGTCCTCCCGGGGTGCTGGCCGGGGCCCTGACGATGCCAGGCCATGTGGAGAGCCCTCACTCGCGGTTAGGCGGCCTCCGGTGTGGGCGCAGACGTGAACACCCACGTCTTTTCCAGGATGTGGATATCTCTGAACTCATGAAGAAGTTAGATCTCCTGGGCGATAACGGGGTAACTATCGGCCCAGCTCGTCCGGGCTGCTCTGTGCTCTGTGCTCTGTGCTTGTCTCGTGTGTCCACCGACTCCAGAGTCTCAGGTCTGATGGGTGTCATGTTCCGGGGAAGGGGGCGGGCAGGGGCCGCCTTTGTCAGAAGCAGTTCCAGAGTTAGGGTCCTGAGTGGAGGGGCGGGGGGGCCGCGAGAGAGCCTGGGGACTACTCAGGACGTGCTGTTGGACGGCGGCCTGGCACCCCCCAGGGGGATGGGCCCGCGGAGGCGGAGACCACCATCCAGACTGCCCTGCGCAGGCCGTGGGAGACGCCCTGCCCGTGTTTCTGTGTTCTAGAATTTGAGGAATGAAGAACAGGTCGCCATAATCCAGGCCGGAACCGTGCTGGCCCTGTGTGAGAAGGTAGAGTGGCCGGCAGCCTCTGTGTCCACCTCGTGTCCGAGCTCCCGGCTCCGGGCCACACACCGTGCACCGGGCCTCGCTCTGGGGACTGCATGCGTGCCCCGCCCCGTCTGCCCTGCACGAGCCGCATGTGCATGTGACCCCTGCCTGGCCAGCAGCGTGGGCAGTGCCGGACCTCCCACCGCACGCCTCCCACGAAGCCTGGGCACAGACATAGCTCCAGGGCCTGGCCGCGCCCTGCCTAGTGCCCAGCCCTGGAGACTGGCAGCGTGGTTTCCAGAGAGCGCTGGATCCCACCCCACCCCTGACCAGCCCCTCAAGGCCACCCTGACCCAGCTAAGGCTTCACGCAGGGGAGGAGAGGCCACTGCCAGGCGCTGCCCCGTCCCTCCGGCTGCCCCACTGCCAGGTGCTGCCCTGTCCTTCCCAACTGGCTTCCTGTCCTATAGCACCACCCACTGCTCTGATGCTGTCTGTGTGTCCGTGAGGCATGTTTGGATTCACGCACCCACTCCTGTATCCGCTCAGGGCTCCCCTGTGCACTGGGGCCGGAGCCCCTCTCGGTGGTGCTGGCTTGGTGTCAGCTCAGCTAGCTTACAAGTCATTCCCCATATGACACCGTGGCTACATAGCTTTCACGTAGCTTCCCTGCCAACCCACGTGAGTCAAACCTCCAGGTGCTGTTTTTAAAGTGCTAATGATCCTCACAGTTCCTCATGATGGTGGCACCATCACCCTTGTACCAGCATACCTGGGCGCCAGTCTGCCTGCTGCTCTGGAGAATGCCAGTGAGCCGAAAGCTCCATCCACATCCATTCACTCACTGACATACTAACACACTCATACTCACACACACACTCACACTCACAACTCATACTCATACACTCACACACACTCACACACATATTCAATCACACACACACACTCAAATACGCTCACACACCCACTCACACACTCATTCACACACGCTCGCTCACTCACACTCACTCCCTCGCTCACTCACTCTCACACTCACACTTGCTCACTCACACACTCATCCACTCGCTCATCCACTCAGTTCTCATTTTCTCACTCGTGTACCCACTCACTCGTTCGCTCTATTCCCTCCCTCCCTCACCACTCACCAGGCGGCACCTGCAGGTGTGTGAGCCGCTCCCCGCCCCAGGGCCTGGTGCCGCCTGAGCCTCAGGGCCTCAGAGCGTTGCTGAGGGAGTGGCCATGCACGAGCACCATGACCCAGTCTGCTCCCAGCCTGGGCCATGCTGGCAGGCAGAGCCCAGGGGCTGCCAGACCCTGTTCGTGCCTCAGCCCTTGTCGAGAGGTGACCCCCCTCGCTGCCAGCCTCACCAGCCCTGCCCTTGGGACCCTCGTCCTCTCAGCTGTCCCGAGACGAGCACCTGTGTCCCCCACACAGGTGACCACGGGCTTCCCTGGCATGCACCCCCACCCACGCCAGCAGCTGCCCGAGCGCTGAGCCTGAGCCTCCCCCCAGTGGCCAGCATGGTCCCCGTGCCGTGCCCTGCTCCTCTGCGTCCCTTGGGGTGGCCGGAAGCCAACCCTGACCCCTCCGAAGCCCTCCTCGTGACTGGACTTAGTCCAGCGCTTCTCGTCCTGACTCGGGCTCTGGGGTCTGGCACCCAAGGACAGCGAAGGGACCAGTGTCCAGTTTGCCCAGGGCTTCCGGGCAGCTGGCGGGCTGTTTTCTGGCGCCTTGGGGACCCACCACTCCCCAGAGGTGCCTCCCCAGAGTGAAGCATGTGCCCGCCGGGGCTGTGACATGCTGGATGCCCCCTGGGCTGCTCTGCCTCCATCTCCTCCATCCTCAGGGACCCACTGGCCGTCAGAGCCACACCAGGGACCCCCGGTGCCCCCAGCAGACGTCCACTCGGAGCCCAGTGCCCGGGGGGCCCAGCGCCCTCCCACCATGTGCCCAGCCAGCAGGAAGATGCGCGTTCCCATTCCTCTGCACCCCCCGGGGAGGGTGGGGACAGGCCAGCACCCAGCCCTGGCTCTAGGGGCCCGGGGGTGCTCCCGCCCGGACTCCCCAGAACCTTTCGTGCTCCCCACCCAGGGCTGGCTCATCTCGTCCCACACTGGGCCAGAACCACCGGCGTCAGAGGGGAACCCGGCAGCCTAGATGAATCCTCCGGGAGCCGGGACTCCTCTGCAGTGCTCAGGGTTCGACACCACATGACCCCAGTGCATGACCAGAGGGGCCTTGCAGCTGGGCACCAGGCAGAGATGACTGGGGTGGGGCAAGCAAGGGGGACTTCCTGGATGAGGTGAGAGCCGAGAAGCTGAGCGCCCGAGCAGGTGGGTGAGGTCAGGGACTGATGGGTAACGGCTCGGGGGTCAGAAGGAGAAGCCTGCCAGAGCAGGGAAGTCAGAACCAGCTCTCCGAGCGGCTGGAGCAAGGCAGCGCCCCAGGACCTGGGACTTGGTGGGGATACACGGCACTGAAGCGGTGGGGCCCCAGGAAAGGGGTCAGTGGTCTCCGCAACCACAGAGGCCCTGGAGACGCCAACACTGCAGCCCTGCAGCCCTGCAGCCCTGCTCACTTCCCCTTGTCTCCCGGGCCCCCCGAGGAACAGCCCCCGACAGTTACTCTGCCCTGTGCTGGCAGGCAATGGAGCCCCCTCCCACGCACCCCTTCCCTGAGGGCAGCACCAGTCACACCACCTCCTCTCGCCAAGCACCCCCAGGGGCCTCGCTGCTCAGGGCCCCCAGGTGGCTGCAGGGGTGCGTGCCCAGACTGGGCCCTGCACAGTCACCCCTCAGCGTGGGCAGCTGTGCTCCCCAGGGCGCCCCAGAGGGCAGAGGGCAGCTGACACAGCACCTCACATGTGCCCCTGGTCAGCATCCCACAGGTGACCCGAGGCTGGACCCAAAGGCTTCCCTCATGTTGGGCTTGAGGGGGCCCCGCAGGGACTGCCAGTTCTCACGGCCACACCCTGTCCCCCTGTTTTCCAGTGGCTGAAGCAGATAGAGGGGACGGAGGCTGCCCTGACACAGAAGATGCTGGACCTGGAGAAGGAGAAGGTGACCCTGCCTTGAAGTTCTTCCCCGCTCTGGGGGCTGGGGGCCTGCCAGGATGGGTGATGGCATCGCAGGGCACACTGGGAGGAACAGGGGGATGGGCAGCTTTGGGGGCGGGAGGTTCTTGGGATAGGTTTTCCTCCAGGAGAGGGGACTGGAGGGCAGGGCAGTGGGGAGGGCCTTGTACGCGGCCAACCGGGTTCCCTCCCTGTACCCCACATGTTCCCCCAAGCATCGTCAGAGTGACCTGAGCCAGGAAGGAGTAAGCCCCCAGCACCGCCGGGTGTGACCAAAACAAAAACCCAAAACAAAACCAAAAAAGAAAATTTCCCCCAGGATAAACTGGGGGCCTCCCCCTGCCTCGAGGGCCTCAGGACAGACAGGTGAAAGTCACAGCTGGCTGGCCTTGTCGCCAGGCACGGCTGCTGCGTGCCACCTGCGGGCATCAGAAGGCATTTCGAGCCTCCCAGAAACAGTGCTGAGGGGGGGCCTGCAGGTGGCAGCATCCGTGAGGAGACACGGGAGGGGCCACCCCAGGCTCCGTGAAGTTTTCTTGGTTTTGTCTTGTTTCGGTTTTGGGGTCACACCCGGTAGTACTCAGGCTCTGTGCTCAGGGACCACTCTTGGTGGTGCTCGGGGGACCTTATGGGATGCTGGGCATTCAACCCAGGTTGGCTGCATATAAGGCAAGCACCCTATCTACTGAACTATCTCTCTGGCCCCTGGTGTTTTCTGTAAAACCCAGAAGTTGCACACAGGCTAGAGTCCTGAGGCCTCCCAGGAAGCCCCCTGGCCTAGGGGTGGGCAGCTGGCCGAGCTAGTGGAGTCTTCTCAGACTAATCAGGAAGTGGGCAGGGTCCCTGGGACTGTGCCCGCTCTCTGGGAACCGGGGGCGAGGAGGGTCCGCTTCACTGATCATCGGCAGCCAAGCTGGCCCGGGGGTGAGGGCAGGACTGTCTCACCAAGGCTCCTGGCCTGGGAGGCCTGCTGCAGGGCTCAGGAGACACAGCAGATGCCTCTTCCTGCCCCTGCACCCAAACTCATGCAGAGGGGAGTGGGGATGGGCTGGCCTGAGTGGGGCCCTGGGTCCCTCATGGTGCCCTCCTGTGCAGGATCTGTTCAGCAGGCAGAAGGGCTACCTGGAGGAGGAGCTGGACTACCGGAAGCAGGCCCTGGACCAGGCGTACCTGGTAGGGGGGCCTGGTGTCAGGCTCTTGGGTGCGGGAGAGGGGGCTGCCCTGTTCCCAGGTGGCCGGGCTCCATGTCCACCTTCTGGTCAGTCTGCACAGTCATCTCCCACTGCATGAGTATTCCGTAAGGCCATGGCCACTCTCTCCTTTGGATTAGAATGACCTCACCAGGGGCCACAGCGAAATGTGGGCAGAGGGGCTGAGTTAGCCGGAGCCTGTGGGGAGATGCCACCACATGCAGGGGACAGTGGCCATCACGGGGTTAAAGTGTCTGAGTCCCCTCTGCAGTGTTGAGGCGTTTCTGTGAGTCCCCTCTGCAGGGTGAGCGTGTCTGTGAGTCCCCTCTGCAGGGGAGAGGCGTTTCTGTGAGTCCCCTCTGCAGGGGTGAGGCGTGTCTGTGAGTCCCCTCTGCAGGGGTGAGGCGTGTCTGTGAGTCTCCTCTGCAGGGGTGAGGCGTCTCTGTGAGTCCCCTCTGCAGGGGTGAGGCGTGTCTGTGAGTCCCCTCTGCAGGGGTGAGGCGTGTCTGTGAGTCCCCTCTGCAGGGGTGAGGCGTGTCTGTGAGTCCCCTCTGCAGGGGTGAGGCGTGTCTGTGAGTCCCCTCTGCAGGGGTGAGGCGTCTCTGTGAGTCCCCTCTGCAGGGGTGCGGCGTGTCTGTGAGTCCCCTTTGCAAGGGTAAGGGCATTGCATCTAGGTCCCTCGCAGACAGCAGCATCAGAACGTCAAGAAGACAGGTGTCCTTGGTGCAGGCTGGAAGGCCCAGGAGTGGGGCCCTCTAGGCCACTAGGCGTCCTTTCTGCCCAAGAGATGCCTGGGGTCGTGTGGCCTCCGCGCCCTCCCACACTGCCCGTTGTCTCAGAAAATCCAGGAGCTGGAGGCCACGCTGTACACGGCGCTGCAGCAGGAGCCGGGACACAAGGCCAGCGAGGCGCTGAGCGCCGGGCAGCGGGAGGACCTGCAGGCGGCTGTGGAGAAGGTGCGGAGACACATCCTGCGGCAGAGCCGTGAGTTTGACAGCCAGGTCCTGCGGGAGCGCATGGAGCTGCTGCAGACAGCACAGCAGGTAAGTGGAAGGGAGCAGGGTAGGGGAGCAGGGTCAGAGAGCAGGTTCGCGGAGCAGGGCTGGGGGAGCAGGGGTGGGGGAGCAGGGACGGGGAGCAGGGTCAGGGAGCAGGGCTGGAGGAGGCCGAGCCGGTGAGCGGGTGGGCAGGTGAGTGGGTACCCGAGCAGTGAGGGGTGCGGGGAGCGGGCCGCGGTGGGTGGGGTTCGGGGCGCGGGCTGAGTGGGCAGGTCCCCGACCCTTGCTTGGCCTGTCTCAGAGGGTCCGGGAGCTGGAGGACAAGCTGGAGGCGCAGAGGCGGCAGCTCAAGGAGCTAGAGGAGAAGGTGGGTGTTGCTGTGGGCGCAGGCCCAGGGGGTTTTCTTGGGCCCCAGGACCTTGCTGAGCGCCTCCATCATCAGCTTCTGATTCATGTGCGGGGACGCAGGCACAGGCGGCTCGGGGCCTCACCTGGCTCTAGCACACCCTGTACACTGGGGGCCTCCTGCTCCCCGGGTACCCCTGGGACCCCCGTAATGGCCAGGCCCAGTCCTGCCACATCCTGCACTCAGCCTGAAGCCCATCTGGCTGTGGATGCTGGGGGTTGAGGGGTGGGCTGGGGGTGCCTGGACTCCCTGAGCACCTTTTGGGCCCCCAAAGGCTCCCCCAGACACCTCCCAGTGGCAGTTGTCTGCTGTGGGTGGCTCAGCCAAGGAGCCACGGGCTGGCCTGGCTGGGCCCGTGGGGAGGGGCAGAGGGTCAGGGGGCTCAGGATGCTCAGAGGGGGACAGGGGTTCCGGCGGGGTCAGGCGGGGTCAGGTGGGGCAGGGGGCTTGGGGCTGGGCAGGCTCTGCATGCTGTGGTCTGGGCTGCTGTGGTTCCAGAGCCCTGGGGCTGTGCTGTGAGTGCCGACTGTCGTGGCCCAGGCCCCACGCCCTCCGCTTCCTGCAGATCCTTCTCCATGGAGCAGGCCGAGTCCCCTCCCTGTCTCCTGCCCTGTGTCCCCAAGCCGTGGTTATGCGTGGAACAGGGTGGGAGGGGTCCTTCTGGCCACACAGGGGTGACCACAGTGCAGCTCTGCTGGCCCCCCCTTCCAGGGCTTTCCTGAGGACCCGGGGCTGCCCGGGGCCAGGAAGTAGGGCTGGGACCCCCGTGGCTGCTCCTCTGTGCCTGTCCTGGGCCCCATGGGCCGTGCCCCAGCCGGGGATCCTCAGGTCTGCCTTTTCTCCCAGGAGAGCAGTGAGGATAGAGCGAGGGGGGAGCCCCAGCCCCCCAGCTTTGGGACTTCTGTGGGCACACGTGGGTCCGGGGGGCGGGGGTGCTTGCCTTGCTGGGGCCAACCAGATTAGATCCCCGCCATCCCATCTGGTCCCTGAGCCTGCCTGGAGTGATATCCGAGTGCAGAGCCGGAGTACCCCCAAGCAAGCCCCCACTGACGCCAGGCAGCCAGCTGTCCTCACGGGGTCCCGGGGCTGGTCCACGGGGCAAGCATGTGCCAAGGCGCCCGTCCCACTCCGGGGCACTGGGTGGGGGCAGGGCTGTCTCAGCTTGAAGGGGCCGGGCTGGTGCTGTACCGCCAGGCGCCAGGCGGAGACGCGGCTGTAGAGTCGGACCCGTGCGGGCACCCCGCAGCCCAGGGCACCCCACGTGCCGGGCCCGAAGTCCTGCCCTTTCCCCAGCCTCAGTTTCCCAGAGCGGAGTCTGAAGGAGCTGTTCCGGGTTTAGCACGGCCAGGAAGGTGTCTCTGCGCACTGGCCATCTGCCTTCCCAGGTCCCGCGGGTCTGAGTGATTGGGGCTCTTCGAGCAGAGTGGGAAGACATGGTTCTCAGGCCCGCGGGGTCTCCCTCCCTGCCGCTGGCCCTTTTAGTTTGTTTGGGGTCCACACCTGGTAGCAGGGCTCCCCTTCCTGTCTCTTCGGTCCCGCCCCAGTGCAGCTGTTGGGAACCCGTCTGGTGGGCGCGGAGCCACCTCTGACATCTCTTTCCTTCTCTCTCCCCCCCTTGTTTTATTTTGGTTTCTAGTTTTTGTTCCTTTTCTTGTTTTTCTCACTAGCATTCATTCTGTGGCCTTGACGACGTCAGCAAACCGGGAACTGGGGTTGGTAGAAACAATGCTTGGAAGGACTCCCCCCACCCCGATGTTCTTTGGGCGGGGGGGACCCTAGGAGGAGCTCAGCCCTTGGGTCCCTGCCCAGAGAGCTCTGGAGGCCTGGGAAGTGGGGAGAGCATGTAGGGGACAACCACTATCCCCGTTCCCACAGCATGTCAGGCTGGAGACAGCACAGGAGCATGGCCTTGCATGCGGCCAACCCCGCTGGGGTCCCTGCCCCAGAGAGAGCGTCGCCCCTGGCCCTGACCGGGCGTTGCCCCTGGCCCAGACTCCAGTGCTCTGGTGCTGCGACCACTGTCCCCACACAGCCTGCTGGCCTCTGGCCCAGTGCCCGTGGCTGCCATGGACACGGCCAGGGCCGGAGCCTCGTGGCCAGAGTGTGGGCTCATCTCACCTCCTCGTGCTCTCCCCAGGGTGGACCCCCGGCCCTCGGCACACTGAGCCCTTGGATGGGGAGGGGACAGGTGGGGTCCCCACGGCCGGGGCATCCCCACCCTGCCAACCCCAGGCTCTGGTGTCATCTCCAGTTATCTTTCACTTACAGGGTCGAGAAAGAACTTACGGCATAACCTGAGTCCCACGGCCATCCCAGCCCCACTCACCCCAAATTCAAGCCCAGAGACTGACCAGCCCCCCCAGAACCCACATGCGCCCAGGCAGCTCCCAGGAAGCTGCAGCCACCCTGGCCGGGACCTGGTCAAGCCAGATGCTGGGGGCTCGTCCAGTTCCAGGCCACACCTTATTCTGCCTGCAGCTGCCCAGGAGAGGGGTTGCTGGAGAACCCGCTGCGTCCGGCTGGGCCTGGCACAGTAGCACCTGCCGTGGCCACCCTGTGCTCCTGCGTCTCCATCTGCTGTCAGGGCATGACCGGGGCAACCTGCCGGTGTCCTGCAATCCGGATTCAAGGTGCAGCCCTGGCAGCCAGACGTGCCCTGGAGGGCCTGAGCCACTGGACCTTCAAGCGGGGCCAGAGACAGGCACGAACAGCACCTGAGCCGAGGCCCAGGCCCGCCAGTCCTGCAGGGGAGGGTGGAAAGGTGGCGCGGCCTGACCTCAGTGCCCTCAAGTGGTGGAGGAGGAGGTGCTGAGAGCTCCCGGGGCCAGGGGGACTCGGCAGGACTCAGACGGGCTGCGCTGTCCCCGCCATGGAGAAGGTCTCGTGAGACCAGCCTCTGCACAGAATTCCCTGGGCGACGGGGCCGGGAGCAGCAGAGGGGTGGGGAGCACCCACTGACAAGCCAAGTCCAGGAGGGGCCCCAGTACTGTCACTTCCTGAGGGTGGGGGCATAGACAGCAGCTCAAGGAGGTGATGCTCCGAGCCAGTGGTAGGAAGATGTTTGGATTGGAAGGATGGAACAGGACCCCAGATGGTGGAGCAGGACCACAGGTGATGGGGCAGGACCACAGGTGATGGAGCAGGATGACAGATGATGGAGCAGGACTCCAGATATGGAGCAGGACCACAAATGATGGAGCAGGGCCACAGACGGATGGGATGGGCTCCCGACAGGGGCTGCAGCTGCGCCTGTGCTGGATAGACAGGCCCAGGTGGGTGGCTGCTTATCAGGGCCCAGGCAGGCCCTGTGCAGGGGCTCGGAAATCTCGACTCCCTGTGAGAAAGGGCTTTGGGGAAGAGGAGAATGTTGGAGATTCAGACCCTGGAGGATGCCCACAGATATGCAGAATGCCCTCAGGACCCTCAGAGGATGGGACGCGTGGAAGAAGGGCGCCGTCTGGACAATGGGATGAATGTCCCACCAAACCCCGGGTTTGGGGCCTTGAACACGCCCGGGGAGCAGCCGAAAGGGGCCAAGAGCTGCCGCCTAGCCGCCACTGCATGGGGCCCGGCAGTGCCGGGACCAATGTCTTCCCTGGACATTGCCCAGCTTCTGAGCCCGCTGGGCAGAGGAAGGCTCAAGGAAGCTGCTCTGTGCTGGATCCTGTCACAGGGGCTGGGGTGTCCTTGGCCGGGACCCCTGCTCCGGGCAGTGGTGCTCAGAAGGGAGGTCCTGGGGCCCCGTCCGCCGTCTGCTGCCATGAGTTTGGGTGCCAGCCTGGGCCCCAGCCAGGCCACTGCCACATGCACCTGCCTCTGTGGCCTGGGGGGGTCACAGCTTTCACACGGGGCCTCGAGAACTTCTGTGGGCATCTCTGCACAGACCCCCACCTGCGACTCATGGCAGGAAGTACAGCCAGCACTCACCTCTCAGGCAGCCTGGGTGGCAGGCTGCGGCGCTGGAGTGACCAGCACCTGGACAGAGACTCGAGTCCCGTCGGAACCAGCATTCCTTGTGTTCAAGCCCCAGACACCACCCCTGGGCTCCAGCTCTGAGGCCCCCTTACCGCTGGGCTGGCTGGACACTTCCTCAGGAGCCTCTTGGACCCCTGGGCCAGTGTACCTTGCCTGAGACCCGTTCTGTGGCCAGCAGACTCAGGTTAGTGTCCCCCCCCAGAGTGGGGGCGGCGGGCCCATAGATTCCCTAGAGGAGGACGAGGAGTTGGGTTGAGTCCCTGACCATGGTGGTCTCGGGGACCCCTTGCCCCTTACTCCTGCCAGCTCTGTGGGTGCGGGAGCTGGAGGTGCTGGCAGGGGGAGGCCGGACGCCCCCTCCTGCACACTTGCACCCCAAAGGCACGATCAGGGGTGTCCCTCCACATCCGTCATTCCTTTCTATGCACTCCCATCTCCCTGATGGCGGGGGACTTGGCCACCTGGAGCAAGATGCTCTCCACAGCCAGACCCCCAGGTGGGAGCTGGCACGGGCTCCAGGCATCTTTGTGACCGCTCATGTGTGTGTTGAACAGAGCCCTGGAGGCTCTCTGAGGCACGTGCTCTCTGTCAGTGCTCCCTGAGTACAAGTGCTCCATCCCCAACAAGCAGGGAAGCCCTCCTGTATCCCAGCTCAGGACCCCTCCGTGCCCATGGGGAGACCCCCACGCTGGCAACCAGTTGTTCCAATCACACCCCAAAGATCTGTTCTCGCTTCCTGTTCCTGTCTGTAGATCCCTCCATTCAGCCAAGACGACAGCATCCCTGCCTGGTCCCTCCCTCCCCTCTTCCCGTCCTCTCCCTTGACCTCTCCCCCCCTCCCCTGCCCTCTCCCCTGCCCTGCCCTGCTCCTCATCCTGGCTGCCTAGGATCACCCTGGGCTGATTCTGCCTGGTCCCCTGCCGAGGGCCACTCCCACTGCTCCCCTGCTCCCTCCCCCGGGGCACTTCTCTCTGCCCCGGGGATTTGGGGTCCACCCCCCCCCCCGCCCTCCGTGAGATCCCACCCTTTGCTTGGGGACTGAGGTCCCTGTGTGTGTCAGGCCCCAAGATGAGGAGTTGGGCCCTCCACTGAGCCACAAAAGACTGACTCAAGCAGAGAGCAGCTGCCCCACCCCTGTCCCCGTCACTCCCAGCCACCCCAGCCCGTAAGAGGAGCTGAGCCTGAAACCCAAGCCGCTCATGAATAACCCACCGTCCTGCCCGCAGCAGAGGCTCTGCCGGGTCCACCCTGCGAGTCCAGCTCCTTTCCTATCAGGACCGAGTCACTGCCCTGAGATGGAGCCACCGGCAGAGGGGCAGACCGAGACCTTCAGCTATGTGGTCTGGGTGCCCGGCGCCAATGGGGCCAACATCATGGACGTGAAGGTGAAGATCGACACGCGCTGGGTCTTCCAGGAGGGCCAGGAGGAGCTGCCCGTGGACACGCCCAGGGGGCCACAGTCCGACCTGCAGAGCAGGTAAACCCTCAGGACCCTCCTGCACGTGGCCCCCACTTGGCCACCACATTTGTGGGAAGGGACCGGACCCCCCCTCCACCCCTGCACCCCGTCTCGGTCTCTGCTCTTTCCTGCCCTCTGCCCCCCCCCGCCTCACATCTGTGGAGAGGAGGGGCCCCAGGGGACACTCAGGGGGTGGGCAGTCCCCAGGGACTCTGCCCACGGGGCTGCGGTGACCATCCTCGGAGCCCCTTGCTGGTCTGGTCCCTGGCTGGGCCGCGGGCCTCTGCTGGCCGCTCACACACCCATGCCATCACCATGTGCAGACATGCCTGTGTGTGCCTGGTCTGTCTCGCACACTTGGGGCTTTGGACCGATGCATGCTGCGTGCGTCCCAATCACAGACAGGCTCCTGCCGCCCCAACGCCGCTGCACCTTGGCCATGCTTCCACCCACCCATGTCTGCCCGACCACGTCCCCGACGCTGTTGGGTTTCTGTGTGTGGGGCTGGTGGAGGCGGATGCCAGGCTGAGGTTGCCCAGGGCCCGGCCTCATGAGCTCAGCCAGCACTTACATCCTTTTTTAAAGTTTTTAAAAATAAACTTTGAATTTTGGGCAGCACCCCACAATGCTCAGAGGTCACTCCTGGCTTTGTGCTCTGGGATCCCTCTTGGCATGCTCAGTGACCTTGTGGGATCCTGGGGGTCAGAGCTGGGTTGGCGCATGCAAGGCAAGTGCCCTCCCCGTGGCCCCAGCACTACCCCCTCCCCCCCTCCCCACCGTGTCCTGTCCTCTGTTGTGCTCACCATGACCCCTGGCATGACTTTCGTGTCCTGCAGGGCCCGCGTGCTCGGAGGCCGCACGTCTCCCGGCAGGCCCTTCCCAGCGCTGTGCTCTGTCCTGGTCAGTGTCTAAAGGTCAGGCCTGACAGCTGGACATGCAACCAACAGGTCATCAAGACGCCGAGTCCTGGATTTGTCTGGGACTGCCATTTTCTTGTTTTTTTTTATTTGTCTTAAGACTAGTCATTAAATGTGTATTGTCATATAATTCATCCCTCTTTGTAAAACTTCTCTTGTGATTAAATGCACATCAACAGTTACAACATCCACCCCTCTACTCACCATCATCATTCCATCCATGTGCATCCATCCATCCACTCACCAGCCCACCCTTCATCTAGACATCCACCACCAAAATATCCATCCACTCATCCATCCATCATTCACCCATCTACCCATCCACCCACCCATCCACCCACCTATCCATCCATCCACCCATCCATCCACCCACCCATCCAACCACCCATCCACCATTCCATCCACCCACCTATCCACCCATCTACCATCCATCCATCCATCCATCCATCCATTGATCCATTGATCCATCCACTCATCCACCCATCCATCCTTCCATCCATCTACCCATCCACCCACCCATCTACCCACCCATCCATCAATCATCCACCCATCCAGCCACCCATCCATCCATCATCCACCCATCCACCCATCCACCATCCACCCATCCATCCACCCTCCCGTCCATCCACCCATCCACCCATCCACACCCCCATCCATCCATCCCTCCACCCATCCACTTACCCACCCACCCACCCATCCATCCATCAGCCTGTATTAGTGGCAGACGCTCACACACACACACACACACACACACACACACACACACACACACACACTCAGCACTTTTGTTTCTCCCAGTTCTGAGGACTGGGGATGCCCGTGAGGCGTGGGCAGCAGTGGTGGTTGGGTCCCCTCACCCTGGCTCCTGTGCTCGCCTGCTCTCATCCCTGTGGCATTGTGCCCTGCTGTCCTCAAGGGACCACTCTGCATGTCACTTGCAGGCCTGAAGGCGTCACTTTTACTTAATCACCAAAACTGTCACATTCAAGGTTTTCTGTCCTAAGGTGAGGGGACACTTTAGTTTCAGTTCGGGCACAGATAGGAGGTGGGGCAAGCAGGGAGGGTCCCTGTGCTCCTGCTCCCTGCTCCAGGCTGGGCCCAGCCTCCCTGCCTGCCTGACAGCTGTGGCGGACTCCCCACTGGCCTGGGGGTTGCTTTGCAGCCCCGCCATCTCCCCACAAGCCCGGCAACCCCATCACTGACAGCCTTTGCAAGCAGAGCAAAAGAGCGTCATTTTCATTGCAGAGAGAACCCCACCCGCCTTTGGAATGTCAGTCACTTTCTTCGAGTGGATTCTTGAGAATATTGCTCCACCAGGAGGCCTTGGGGCCCAGAGCTTAAGCAGGAAGTCTGGCCTCTAGGATGTTGTGTGGCCTTGGGCGGGTTGCCTAACCTCTCTGATCCTTAGCTTCCTGAAGTATGAAATAGACAGTCTAGTGCATGGGCGAGGATTCGCTGGGGCCATACAAGTACAGGCTCAGGGCCCAAGCACTGTGGAGAGCCTGATGCCGCACAGCCTGCATAACCGTGTCCCAGGCAACCCTGAACCACAATGGTCCGCATGCGTGACCCACAACGTGTCACTCGTGCCCGAAGTTCACATGGGCCAAGGGGCAAAGTGGAAGAGCTGCAGCGTGTGCGCGGGTTCGAGTCAGCACCGCCCACTTCCCGTGCAGGGTCCGGGAGCTGGAGCGGTCGGAGGTGAGGCTCGTGAAGCGGGTGGAGCGGCTGAGCGCCCGCCTGGCCCAGGAGAGAAGCCACGCGCTGCGGGCCCAGGAGCAGCTGCGCACCCTGCGGGGGGCCCTCGCCCGCCAGGTACCTCCCAGACACCCCCTGTGCCCGCACGGCCCCCACACCTGCACCGACGCCAGGTGGCATCCAGCTTGGGAGGCCACTTTAGCAGGACCATGACGGCAGAGGGGCCAGTGGGGACTGTGGGGCCAGGAGCCTCGCTGGACCGCGATCGTTTCCTGCCTGTAGAGTGAGCGTTCCTCCCTCTCGCCCGGTGTCCGGGTGGGCCGAGAGCAGGAGTGAGCCACAGCACTGTGGGGTGCTGGGGGTGGTGTGCATGCATTGTGTGTATATCCATGAGTGCGCCTGCCCGCACACGTGCATATGTGTGATGCCACCACGTGTGCACAGGCTGGCACATGTATAACTGCATGTGTGTTCTGGCACATCCACACAGACACTTGTGTGTATGTGCTTGTGTTGATACAAGTGTAAGTACATGTGTGTGCTGATGCATGTGTATATACACAGCTTGTGCCCACACACACGTACATGCATGTGTTGGCTTGTGTGCATACAGTGTGCATGTGCTGGTGCATGTGTGTACGTGTATGCATGTGTTGGCACATGTGTACGGGCATGTATGCGCCCATGAGTGTGCGTGGATGCGTGCATGTGTGTGTGTACATGCGTGCAGGGAACCTCAGAGAGCTGACCCTCTGGCGGCCAGGGTGCAGGACAGTCCATGGCCGAGCTCCGAGGGTGATGAGGAGCGGGGAGGCTCAGAGTCGCGGGGCCCTGTACTGGTTGTGTAGGGGCCTGAGGCGGCGAGCAGCCTGCTGGAGACGGGGTGGGGAGCAGAGCCAACCCTGGCTTTCCCCTTGCCTCCACGGGCCTCAATTTCCACATCTGTGGGATGGGGGAAAAGGCCCCGGGACGATTTGGAGGTGAATTAGTGCATGCTCGTAGCGGTGGTTGTGTGGGGTTGACCCGCCTGTTCTGAGCCGGGGAGAGGTCGGGGGCCAGCAGGGGCCACAAGCTCCATAAGGTGCAGGTCTAGAGGGCGGCTGTGCGGCATCCTGAGCCAGTGCAGTGCTGTCCATGCCAGTGCTATGACCAGCTACGGGGCCCTGAGACCCAGACCCAAGGGCACCGCCAGCACGGAAAGTCCAGAACTGCCCGGGAGCAGCAGTGAACCATGCTCACAGGGGGAGGCTGTTTCCAGAAGTTTCTGAAGCAGCATGTGTGTGCATGTTTGTGTTCTCACGTGTGAGTGTGTGCATGCGCTTGTGTGCACACATGTGTTTGTGTGCATGTTGCACGTGTATACATGTTTGTGTGGTGTGCTTGTGTGCATGCATGCGCGTGAACACGTGTGCGCAGGTTTGTGTGTGCATGTGTGCGTGCATGTGTGTGTGTCTGTGCATGTGTGTGCTTGTGTTGTCTGTGCGTGGTCGGACCAAGAGTGCTGTTCTGGCGGTCAGGTTCCTTGCAGTGCAGCTCTGAGAGCAGGTCAAATGCTGGTCTGTCTGTCGTGGGCTGAAGCTGCGCCGGTGGAGTTGGCGTAGGTGGGACCCGCCTGGGGAATGGAGACCGGGGACCTTCTCGGGAGCTTCAGTGATGCCCCCTGGGCGTGTTGGGCGCTGTCCCACTGTCAGACTCTCGTGGGAAGAGCATGTCGATCCATGCGTGACGTGAGTCAGGCCCTGTAAGCCCCCTAGGAGATGACGTGGGAGACACAGAACGAGGAGGCCCCCCTGGGCATGTCAGTGGGGCCCAGGCACTGTCCAGCACGTCTGTGGGGTCCGCGCCCACACACAGGGGGACAGCGCCTCTTTTCTTGTGTTTTGTTTTTGGGTCACACCCAGTGATGCTCAGGGGTTACTCCTGGCAGTGCTCGGGGGCCATATGGAATGCCGGGGAATGAAGCTGGGGTGACCGCGTGCAGGCCAAATGCACCCCACCCGCTATGGCTCCACCCCAGACAACTCTCCCTGTTAGGGGCTCAGGTCACCCCTAAGCTCCTGGGCAGAGGGGTCATGGAGCCCCCTTTTCAGAGGAAGAATATGAGTTTAGGATCCTTGAGAGACCCGCTGGCTGGGCCAGAACACGGCCCCCATGCTCTCACCCTGCACCGCTTGTCAGAAATATCTGTCCTTTGCAGCGAGTCAGTGGGAGGATGGAGGGAATGTCTCTGCATCTCTGCAGGATTATTTTCCACTTAAGTTTCACTCTGCAACTGTCAATGCTCTCAGGACACATTTGCACACGGCACTCAGAATCCTCAGGAAGCATTTGCGCACGACACTCAACGTTCCCAGGAAGCATTTGCACCCCAAGACAGCTCATTTCTGTAGTGACCCAGGGTCCTTTTGAGAGCCCATCCAGAGAGATCCAGCTGGATGCTGAAGCACCCAGGTCCCGGGACACACCACCTGGCAAACCAGCTGCTCTTTCTTCACTTGACTCCACTTGTCTTTGCCCCCATATGTCCCCCAAATCAAGTGGCCCCTCCGAGCCTGCTGAGCCCTGACCAAGCCCCTACCTCTGCTCCTTCGTCCTATGGCCTGTGAGCTTCCCAGGGTGGGGGGAGACTCTAAGGGGAGAAAAGCCCCCCGCATTCCCGGCACTCTCCACTAGACCTTCCCCTGAGCATGGGGCTCCAGGGCCTGCTCTGGGCACATGGCTAGTCTTGGCGGGGTTGTGTGGGTGCACCCCCGGCTGCATCCTGTACCCCTGGGGCCAGCCGGGGGGGGGCTCTGTTTGCCCCTTCCAGTGGCTGAGCCAGGATGGGGGGACAGTCAGGAGCCAGTGGGAAGGAAGGTGAGTTCAGCAGAGGGTTAGGATGGCGAGATGGTGGGCCCTGCAAGGTCCCTGGAGAAGGTGGACAGAGGGTGGCTGTCCTGTCCTGGGGTGCTGAGGCAGGCCGGCTGGAAGGAAGGCTGACCCCGAGGTGGGTGGGACACAGACATGAATTCTTGGGGTGCTGAGAAGGGGAGAGGTGTGAGGGGGGTCTGGGGTGGCCGTGGGGACAGTTGGATGCGCCTGCCTCATTCTCTTTAGGACTTCCGCTCCCAGGAAGCTCTGCCAGCTGCACCATAGTCTCCAGCCCACAAGGCCCGTCCATACACACACACACACACACACACACACACACACACACGCTGCTCAGGGTGGGCGCTCTGGGGAGGCAGCCTCCCGTGCACAAATCCTGGTGGCAAGGGCAACTCCGAGGCCAAGTGTGGGTTCCAGTCCGGGGAGGACAGTCACGCTCGGAGCCCGAGGTCCAGCCAGGCGCGGGGCCGCCGGGGTGCCCCTGGACTCGCTGGACCTCGCTCCCTGACGCCCTTCCTCCACCGCCAACTTGCAGGTGCGGGAGCAGGAGCGCGCGGCGCAGCGGCGGGAGCGGCTGCGGGAGCTGGTGCGGCGCCAGGACGCGGCGCTGGGGCAGCAGGCGGCGGCCCTGGAGCGCGGCGCGCGGACGCAGCGTCACCAGCTGGGCCTGGCGCGCCGGCAAGAGCGCGCGCTGCGGGCGCAGGTGCAGCGGTTGCAGAGCGACGTGCGGCGCCTCTGCTGCGCCGCGGGTCTCCTGCTGGCCGAGTTGGACGCCCCGGGGCCCCTGGCGCCCACTGGCCACGGCCTGGGACAGCCCGCGCACGCCCGGAGCGCCTCTCCCGAGGCGAGGGCCGGGCCCGGGGCACGCTGGCTGCGGGAGCGGGAGCGGGAAGGACGCGCCGGCTGGCAGCTCTGCGGGCAGCTGGAACGGCTGCAGCTATCGGACACCCGCCTGCCGAGTCTGCAGGACGAGCGCAGCGCGACCCCCGAGGGCCACTGCCGCAGGGTAAGTGGCCGCACGGGTCTCAGCAGTGAGTTTCCTGCCTCTTCTTTCCTGAAGAGCGGCTTGATGGAGTGACGGCCATCCCCAGGTCTTCCTCTTCCCCCCGTCCAGCTACCTCGCCTCCCTTCCTCCCTTCCAGCCGCCTGCCTCACCGCCTCAGGACAGGACAGCCACCCTCTGTCCACCTTCTCCAGGGACCTTGCAGGGCCCACCCATCTCGCCATCCTAACCCTCCGCTGAACTCACCTTCCTTCCCACCGGCTCCTGACTGTCTCCCCATCGCTACTGGCCTGGGGCATGTTCTCCGTGCTCCCTCCCGAGTCCCCTCCACCCCTCCCTGCTAAGGCCCTCACCCCAGCCCTGGCCATCACCCCCAGAGGTGGCAGGGTCCCTCCTTCTCCTCCTCTGCAGACTGTGAGCCCTCTGTGGGCAGGGCCAGGTGGGGGCCGGTCCCCCTTCTGCCTCTCCAGGTTCCCAGCAGGGCGAGACCAGGGGCCTCCCGAGCTCCGGAGGGGCGTGGGCCGGGCTGCAGGCATTTGGCAGGGGAGCCTCCTGGCTGGCCTCCAGGCTCCCTGCTCCAGGAGCAGCCTCGGAGGAGCTGTGGGTGCCCCTGCTGGAATCTGGGGCCCGCGACGTTGTAAGGGGCTGTTTCTCCCGCACCTGGAGGCCTCCCCAGGCCGTGTCCTCATCTCACGAGCCCCCCCACACACACACACATGCTGGGCCTCCCTGTGACCACACCGCCCTCCCTGAGGGCCACGCGCGTCATACCTGGGCACTCGATTTCTTCTGTGGAAGTGGGACCCCGTGTTTTCACACTCATTTCCTCGTCCTCTCTCCTCCCTGGTGTTTGCGGTCTCTTGTCTCTGCTCCGTGGCCCCGCCTTGCGCCCTGCCCCCCAGCTCGGGCACAGCCGCGGCGCTGGGCACCTTGCTGGACCCGGGGAATAAACCGTGCAGAGACAGACACTCGTGCGGGTCTCCCCACTCCCCCACCCGTCCACGCTGCTCCTCCCTGGGTATCGCTGGGCTCCAGCTGACAGGCGTCCGCACTGTCCGTTCCCGGGAGGAGCTAGCCGCGCTCTGTCACCCCATTCACAGAGCCAGAGGGGTCCTGGGAAGGGTGAGACCAGCCGGGGGCTGGCGTGGGCCCTGTCACCACTGAGCCCCTGACTCTGCTGGCCATCCCTGTGGGCTGCAGTCACTGCCCAGCACAGCCCCACCAGGCGCGAGCGTGGCGTCAGTCCTTCCCTCCAGCCTCCAGCTGCCCCACCTTGGAATTCCCCTGGTGTGGAACAGTGGGGGCGGGGGGGGGGGGGCTTAGTCCTGAGCTGGGGCAGGGCTCCAGACTCTGGGGCCCGGGGTGATGGCGGGTGCCCCTAGGCCCTGTGTGGCTGAGAGGGGGCAGACAGCACACATGGACCCTGGCCCCTGATACCCCCTGCCTGGGGCGGGGCAGAGACTTGGGAGGGCCCTGGGGTGCCCCCGCCATCTCCCCACTCCTCCGCAGGGGACCCCGGGAGCATGAGGTCTGGCTGACGTGGCCTTACCAGCCTCAGTGAAGGCCCACTTGCATGTAGGCTGTCTTGGCGAGGGGTGGGAGAGCTTGAGCTTTGGTTTGGGGGGACGGTTCTGCCCAGGACATGCAGTGACCGGGGGGCTCCATGTGTCCCTACCCTCCTGCCCACGTCCAGGCCCTGAAAACGCAGCCCTCATCATTTACTGTGGCTGTGTGGATGCGCCCCCTAGCGCAGGAGTACCCACACAGTGCACATGTACCCGCACAGAGCAGATAGACCACATAGAGCAGACACCACCACATATGCCCCCATGCACCCCCCGTACACACCTCATACAAACAGCCCCATACACACCCCCATACATGTCCCATACACACCCCATATACGTCCCATAAACCTCATACACGCCGCATACACACACCCTATACACACCCCATACACACCCCATCACACCTCCATACACAACCCCCCAAAACACCCCCATACACATCCCATGCACACCCCATCACATTCCCATACACACAATCATACACACATACATGCACCCCCTACACACCCCCTACACACCCCCGTACACACCCTATACGCACCCCACACACATCCCATATACATCCCATAAACCCCATACACACCCCCATATACACCCCCATACGCACCTCCTGTAGAGCAGCCCGAGCCCAGTCCGCCTGATATTCTAGAAACATCTGTGCCTGCCCCTCCTGTCTCCGGACCCTGACACGGAGCCGCTGCACAGCCCCCCCCCCCCCCAACTCATGGTTCCCCCAGGAGTCAGGTGGGGACCTCAGTCCTCTGCCCGCTTCCTGGGCCCGCGATCAGGTGTGGGCAGGTGGGCACCGTGTCTCTGTGCCCACCCTCCCGCCCTTCCTGGGGGGTCTCTGCCCAGACATGCCCTTTCTGTGAGGCAGCCGTGGGGGCCCTCGACAGCTCCTCACCGCTGACCCCCCCCCCCCCCCGCCCCTATTACTGAGGTCCCGGGGCTCCAGGATCTGGGGGCTCACCTGACCTCAGAGTCCCTGAGGCAGCCGCTCGAGTCGAGGAGCTTATGGGTCCCACTTCTTGGGGGCTGGGAGCACGCGCCCACCCCAGCATCTGTGAGGGTGCCTTGGGCCTGGCACTGCCCCCAGAGGCGCCCCCTCCTGGTTGCCCCTGCTGGTCCTCCCTGCACCACAGAGGAGCAGATGGCAGCACTGTCACCTGGATCCGGTGCAGGACGACCTCAGGCACGGCCTTGGGGACCGCCTCAGGCCTGTCCTGTGCTTGGAACACAGCCCCACACTCCCTGTTGGTGCTGGGCAGGCTCCACAGCGCGTGAGCTCCCAGCATGGCTCAGCTGCGTGCCAGGGCGGGCCCAGGAGACAAGACCCCTATCTGCCCGTGCCACGAAAGCGCCCAGCTGATGGCTTTCAAGGCCAGCGGCCAGTCTGGATGCTTCCAGCGAGTGTGTGCAGGCGCCCTGGGCAAGGGGCAAAGGTGACAGCTCAGTCATGGGGAATGCAGACACGTGCAGGTGGGGGCAGAATCGGGGGCCACCCTGGGAGTCCGGGGTGAGGGGTGGGGCTGGACCCAGCTGGGAGCCTTGGGGAACCTTGGGGAGCAGGAAGGGGCCCCTGGGAGGAGCAGCCCAGAGCCCCAAGTGTGCAGGGGGCCCCGAGAATCTGCAGCCCTGCTCGGGGCTGGGGCTGACGGTCGGGCTGGAACAGGTCTGGGTGTGTGGTTTTCTGGGGGCCAGCCTGTGGAAGCCCCACGTGCCCTGCGCAAGCCCCGACCTCGTGACCTGGGGTTCATGCCCAGGCACACGGGCGTCCCGGGCCCTGCTCACTCGCTGCCCACCTGCCCACCTGCCCGGGGCCGAGGGGCTCCCACGCCCCCACGCCTGGCTGCTCCGCCGCCTGCTCCTTTCACCCTTCCACCGGGATGGCTGCTGCCTCCAGGATGAGACTGCAGGTCAGATTGTCCCCTCCTGGGGGTTCCTTGGTGACAGGTGCCACCCTAGTTCGGTCCAGTGACTCCTCCTCATCACCCAGGCCTTGACTCTCAGAATTTGCACCTCTGGCCCTGGGAAATGGAAGTTTCCAGCAAATGGGAGCGTGTCAAGAAGGCAATGTTCGGGGGCAATGTAAAAACTGGGGAAACTGAGGCAAGAGTGGGCGTTCAGTCCCGGAGAGTGTCTCAGAGGAAGACCATTACGAATCGCAGTGTGCCCCCACCCTGTGTCCAGTGGTCCTCGTGGACAAGCCAGGAACCGAGGCAGGCGGGGACAGTGCCTTGCCCAGACATGGGGAGGCCAGCTTCACCCCACAGCCCGGAAGGTGCCAGAGTCTGTCTGGTGGGGGCCAGTCGGCTGTCCCGGTGCTGTGTACCTGGGGCTAGCATCCAATGGCACAGGAACAGACGAGTGCCTTCTTCCCACAGCTCAGAGGGGACCAGACGCTGGTGCGAGCAGATGGACCCTGTGGTTTCTGTGAGCACTGCCCAGGGAGCTCTCGGCACTGGGCGACTCTGGCCAGGCAGTGATGCTGGTTGAGGGTCCCCAGGACAGGACACCGTGTCCCTGAGCACTGTTGGGGAGGAGTGGGAGAGTCTTCACCCTGTTGTGGACCATGGGCGAAGCTAAGATGTTCCTCCATGCACATGCACACACATACGTTTTTATACTCAACACACGGAGACACACAGCGCACACGTGCATGCACATACATGCCCACACAACATACATGTGTACACACATTCTCACAACACAGACACACAGCATACATACATGCCAACATGTTCATGCACATATGTGTTCACACATACACACAGCACACATGTACACATGCACACACATGCTCACACTTTAAACATATGCATACACATATGCTCACATATTTATACACACATGGGCACAGACAGGTGTGTTTGCCCACAGTACATAACGCAATACTTACACAACGCTCACCATGCGCATATATGCAAGCACACATGTATATACATACATGCATGAAGCACACAGACGTATGTACACACATGTATTCATACACAAGCACCCAGACACACATCCACATCTGACACACTCTCACACTAACACTCACAGGCCCTCCCCCACACCCCGTGTCCAAAGGGCAGTGCCTGCAGCCGGGCGCTGGCCAGGCTCGCCTTTGGGGGACGTGCCCGCGGACAGCAGAAGGCTCTGGGGCTGGCTGAGGTGGGGTTGGGCGGGCGACGCTCTGTGCCCACGGGCCTCTGGGCTCTGCCCCCTGCGCCATGCCTGGTGGAGGAGGCGGTGCGTCTGTGGGGCCGGCCGGGAGGTGCCCACGCATGGGTAGCCTCTGAGCCCTGTGTGGTCGGCCGGGAGCCCTGTGGCCAGCCCAGGACCCTCAGCTCTGTCCCCAAGTGTTGTCCTGCGGAGGAGGAACCCACCCACGTCTACAGGACTCTCTACTCTGAGGGTGCCCCGCGACCCAGGGCCACAGGTGTGTGGGTGCCATGTGGCAGCGAGGGGCACGCGCCGCCCCCGGTCTGGGTTTCTCCCGATGCCCACATGAGGGTGGGCCCTGCCCTGCTCTCAGAGGAGCTGTGGCTCAGAGAGGCCGTGCCAGTCACCTGGGGCACAGAGCTGTGATAAAACTCCGAGGGGTTGTGCCACATGCCAAGAGCACAGGGCTGGTAGGGTTGGAGCGAGAGGACGGTGGGGAGGGCACCGGCCTTGCACACAGCTGACCTGGGTTCCATCTGCGGCGTCCCCGATGGCCCCCGAAGCCCCACTAGGAGTGATCTCCGAGCACAGAGGCAGGAGTAATCAATACCTGAACACCCTGTGATGTGTCCGCCAAACAGAAACAAGTTGTAGAGACACGTGGGGACATACACAAGGGACACAGTGAGCGGGCCGGGGAGGCACACGGCTGGGACAACGGGCATCAGAGTCTCAGCACGGGATGGCAGCGCTCCCTGGCATGACCAGGGTCAGTCCCTGTGACAGGATAGGGCCTTGCGCCCCCCTGCTTGGGCGCCCGGTGAGCTGTGCCACTGTCGGCCTCCGGGGACAGATGGGTTCAGGAGTCTGGGGTCACTGGGCCCGGCTGCTGCCTGCACTGCCCCTGTCTGGGGAGCCGGGGGAACCCGGAGCAGACTGAGGTCAGCAGGTGCTGTCCCCGGTGTGGGGCGGGGCTAGTGCCTGCTGACCGCAGGGTGTTCCTCACTGGGCGCCTCCCGCCTCGGGTGGGCAGGAGAGAAGCGGCCTGCATGCGGGCCTCCAGGGGCGTCTTGAAGCGTCTTTCTAACTCAGGGGTGCTGTGGGTTCCAGGCATGCGTTCGAGGGACCCCTGCCCCTCTGACTGCATAGGGGCTGAACTCCCAGGGTGCCTGGCCTGTACACAGGTGAGTGGGGAGCACTGAGAACATTCTGGAAATGGCTCACAGTGGTCTGGGCAACGTTCTGTGAGCAGGGAAGGTCTGGGGACCAGGCTGGAGTGTTTGGAAGCTCCGAGAACATCAGGAGACATGTATGTGTGTGCATGCGTGTATTTGTGTATGTATGTGTGTATGTGTGTACATGTATGTGTGTATGTGTATGTAGGTGTGTATGTGTGTATTATGTGTGTGCATATGTGTATTTGTGTGTATATATGGGTGTACATGTATGTGTGTGCATGTGTATGTATGTATATGCATGTGTGTATATGTGTATAAGTATGTGTGCATGTAGAGTGTATGTGTATGTGTGTATGTATGCATATGTGTGTATGTGTGTATGTATGTGTGTATGTGTATTTGTATGTGTGTATGTGTGTGTATATGTGTGTATGTTATATATGTATGTGCATGTGTGTATGTATGTGTTTGTGTATTTGTATGTGTGTATGTATGTATGTGTGTATGTGTGTGCATGTGTGTATGTGTATTTGTATGTGTGTATGTATGTATGTGTGTATGTGTGTATGTGTGTGTGCATGTAGCTGTGTGTGTATGTATGTGTGTATATGTGTGTATGTATTTGTGTATGTATGTGTGTATGTGTGTATATAGGTGTGTGCATGTGTGCGTATGTGTGTGTAGGAGGTGGTCTGAGCAGAGGAAGGGGCTGCTTCTAACTCCCCCAGAACCTCTCCCCGACCCCCGCCTGCCCTGGCCGCATACGCTGAGGTGCACATGTAGGTATGTAGGTGTGTATGTGTGTATGTGTGTGTGCATGTGTGTATTTGTGTGTATATATGTGTACATGTATGTGTGTGCACGCGTATGTATATGCATGTGTGTATGTGTGCATAAGTATGTGTGCATGTAGGGTATATGTGTATGTGTGTATGTATGTATGCGTATATACATACGCCTTCTCCTGTGTGGCTGCCCAGGCCCTGGAGCCTGGCCAGCTCTGTCCTCCCTGCGGACCTGGCCTGGTTCTCCCAGCCAGAGGCCCCCCGAGTCCCTGCCCCGGAGGCCTTTCCTGCTGCCTGCAGGGGAGCCAGAGAAACGGGGTTCCCATCCGCTCCAGGAAGCCCCCAGAAGAGCTGGACGCCTGGCCCTGCCTGCCCCCGGTGCCCAGGGACACCCCTGCCCCCCACAGCAGCGCACCAGGCAGTAGGACCCCTCCCCAGACCTGGGGGGGGGGGGAAATCCCCGCATGCTGCAATTCCCCAACATCCCAGAAGAGGGCGCTGGCGTCCCAAGGGCACATTCAAGGACAGGGCTAGGGCCTCTCCCCGCCTGCAGTTCCCTGCCCACACCCCCAGGCCAGCTTCTTCAGAACGGAGCCTCTAGGAACGGAGCTTCACCTTAGGAAGGTGAAGCCCCCAAGATGCGGGTCGGGACAGGAGGTCGGGGGACTAAATAGAGGAGGGAGAGGCCCCTATGGGCATCGTTGTGTGCAGGGCTCACTAGTGTCCACCCGGCGGGCAGTTCCTCGGGCATAAGGGCCCAGGCATCGGGGACGGTGGGGACCAAAGTGCGCTTTGGAAATCTGCTTCTTCTGCAGGGAGTGAACACAGCGGCTGCGTCACCCTCGGAAGGCGGCAGGGTGGCCGCCCAGGAGCTGGACCCACAGGGCCTCGAGAGCCACAGGAGCCTCCAGTTGGTGGAAGGGGTGTCAGCCTGGGCCCCCAGCTGGGCGCCATCCCCAGCCCCTGCCAGCCCCCCGCGCCCAGCCCAGGACACCTCCAATGAGTTTGCAGAGCTGGAAGCCTGCTTCCGGCAGCTGTGGGAGTGGTGGCGAGGGAAGGGAGACATTCCAGGAGGGGCTTCCTCGGAGTGCCGGGATTCTGCCCCAGGACAGCCGGGCTGCCAGGACTGCGCATGGCTGACCCAGGCCCGGGAAGCAACCTTGCGGTGGAGGAGCTCAGGGGTCCAGCAGGGAGAGACAGAGACCCTGGGAACCGGCCAAGTGCTTCCAGAGCCGGGGCCCCTGGGTGGCTTCTGTGAGCTGGGCCCAAGCCGGCTGTCCCCTCTGCCCACCGCCCTGGCGAGGCTCAGGACACGGTTCCACGAGCTTGTGTCTGCGCTGAAGACAGAGCAGAGCAACCTCTGGCAGGAGAACACGCAGCTTCGGAGAGCCCGGGAGAGAAGCCTCCAGAAGCTGCGCATGCTGGAGCAGGAGAGGGAGAGTGCTGCCGCGGCGGCGGAGGGTGCGCTGGGCAGCTGCAGGCGGGAGCTGGCCCAGGCCCTGCAGGCCGTGTCCGACCTGGAGGACTGCAGCCAGAGGAGCTACCGCAGGATCACGCAGCTGGAGGTGGCGGGCGAGCGGCTGCGCCGGGCCCTGTCGGAGCGCGCGTGCGCCTGCAGGGGGGCCGTGACTCGTCTCCGCCGGGGACAGCGGGAGCTGCGGGCTCTGGTTTCCCAGCTGGGAGCGAGTCACCAGGAGCTGATGCGGGACCTCGCGGCGGGAATAGAAGGCGTGGTCAGGGCCTTCCTTGAGCGGCACGCGCTCCCGGGGCGCAGAGATCTGGACAGGGGCGCGCGGGCCGAAGGAGAGCGCGGGCCGCACCCCTGCGGGAGGAGCCGGACACGGCTGGGCGCGGCTGCAGGAGCCCACGGGCCCCTGGTGGAGGGTCGAGTGAGCGGCCCCACAAGGCGGCTGAGCCCGACCGCACGCACGGAGAGTTCCGGGGGCGCAGCCGAGGTTTCCGAGGGGCCCGGCGCTCGTGCGCACCAAGCGCCTTGGCAGGCAGAGAAGGACCCAGCACGGGGCGCTGCAGACCCCGGACCCCGGGTAAGTGGGCTCCGGAGGGACTTCTCACACCCGAGTCAGATGGAGGCGCCCTGGAGCTGGTCCGGCCAACTGTCACAAATGGGAAAGTTTCGGTCTCCTCCTCCTCCCCCTTCTCCCCCTCCTCCCCCTCCTCCCCCTCCTCCTCTCCCTCCTCTCCCTCCCTCCCTCCTCCTCCTATTCAAAAAATAAGTAAGTGGGCGGCAGCGTGGTCTCTCGCCTGCCACGTGCATTAGGTGGCCATGAGCTTCTTCCCACTCTGGCCTTCCACCTTGCCAAGAGAGGACGCATGAAGGAGGGAACAAAGCCGCCAGGCTGGTTGGTGGTCAGTCGCAGTTTATTCTAATCTTGTCTTCCTCTGCCTCCTTCCAGGCTCACCCACTCCCATATTCCTCCTATCCCCGCTCCATCTCTCTGCCTTAGTCTAGAGTCCAACCTCCAAGTTTCAGGGTAGCAACTACACTCGGGTCAGAGAGCACAGTCAGCTAAAGCCCTTCCTTCCCGGGAAGCTCTCCTGAGACAGAGCTCTCCTCCTGGGAGATCCGCTCAAGGCGGGATTTCATCGAAGAACATACTTCTCCTTTCCTTGGTCCATAAACATCATCTTAGATTTACTTCAGAACAATCTTTCTAGTCATTTTGCATGGACACAGTAAGAGATACGTCAATCTTATAAGGTGGCTCTCCTGGGGACATCTCGCTCTAGATCCCAGACCACAGTGCTCGGGCCAGATAGTCCTTCCAAACCCTAGCAGTTGTCAGAAAGAATTTATTATAGGAAAATAATAAGTTCTATGATAAGGATAGCCTTGCTGATATTATCCTATAATAAGGTTATCCTAACCTTATTCAGTTGTTGCTCTTCGATCATGACAGAATTTTTCCATGACCATGCTCTTAACTTGTAGTCAAGTATTATGGCTCTTGGCCTGGCCCACGGGCCAGGGTAGCTCATAGCTTGCTCTGGGGCCGTTCAAGTCCCTTCATTGGGACCTTGCTTCTGGGGTGCGAGGAACTAAAGGCAACTGAGACTTAAGTTGAGTGTGACAGGTTCCCAGGAGTAAATGTTATTTGGAGTCAGCTAACTCCCAATATACAAAAGCATAGCGTTAACTGCCTTCCTGTGTCAGTACGAAAGGACTGTGCTCCGAAGTGAACTGTGCAAAGGACATAAGGGAAAGAGAAAAAGCAATATTTCACGTACAAATACAAAATCCAGAGTCCTTAGAAGGATCTGACCTTGCAAGTCACAGAGTCTGGTTTGGGGACAAGTGGTGATTTAAGGCGGGGGAAGAGAGCCCAGAGGAGAAGTTAAAGACAAGCACAGAGGAATGGGAATGCCTCGGGAGCACTGTGATGGGTGTAACCCAGTAAACCTAAGCTCCTTGCGGCAAGGGAGAAAGGACAAACCAATGTTATCCTACACTCCTCCTCCTCTTCTTCCCCTTCCCCTGCCTTTTCCCCTCCTCCTCCTCCTCCTCCTCCCCCTCCTCCTCCTCCTCCTCCTCCTTGTTTTTGAGGGTGAGGAACTGGGGCATGCCTGGCCATGCTCAGGGGTTACTCCAGGCTCTGCACTCAGATTCACTCCTGGTAGGCGGGGGCCATATGGGTGCTGGCGCTTGAGCCCGGATGGGTCAAGTGCAGGTTGGGCACCCTCCCCACTGACCCGTTTCTCCACCTGGTTTCCGTCTTCCTGTGACCGCATGCTATCCCACTCAGTGGGCCCAGCGCTGCCCTCCTTGAGGGGCTGTGTGGGCGTGTCTGCCTCGTGAGCAGGTGGTCAGCACTCAGCGTGGCCGTGTCCAGCCCTGCTGTATTTTCTCCCAAGACCTGCCCAGAAGCAGTGTTGCTGGGTCAGAGGAAAGTTTAAAATCTAAGCTTTTGCAGGGGAGGGTCTCCCTGGAGGGGCCAATGCCGGTCGGCAGAGAGTTGCCAGCCATTCTGAGAGAGCCTGATACAAGGGTCGAAGGGCAGAGAGCAGCTGGTTGGCTGGCTGGGGTCACTTGCAAGGCTGCAGCGAGGCCTGTTGTGCGGGGGGGCTGCCCTGGGCGGGTGTCCTGGCCACGTGCCCTGATATCTCCAGGCCCTTCAGTCTCTCCTTCATCCTGCTGGGTGTAGTGGGTGGGAGCTTGGGGTCCCCCGGCCCCACCTGTGCTGGCCTCTCACTGCCCTGCTGGCCGTTCCTGGACTGGGCTGTCTGCGCTGTGCGATTTCCAGGGGTCAGTACATGGTCTCCACGGTCCTCCTCCCCCTCCTCCTCCCTCACTTCTCCCTCTCCCCCCTTCCCCCTCCTCTCTTGCCCTGGAAGCATCCTGTCGCTTACAGGGGCATTTGCTCTAGACAAGCCCCCTGAGGCCCAGGGTCACACACAAGCCTGGCGACCAAGTCTCCTCCTGCGCCCCTGCGTGTGACATGGCAGGGCGTGGCACCCCAAACCCCTTCTCTCCCTGCTGCTCCTTCTCTCGGACACCTTCGGTTGGCCACAGGACCGCGGGTGGGGGGCCGGGGCATGGCAGCCCCCCTTTCTGGGGCGCTCTCTTAGGATCCCTGACCCCGCCCTGCCCTGGTCCGGAGAGGCCTCGTGGTTCGCACCTGGAGCTGCGCTTGCCCTCATCCGTGGGCCCATCTGCTACCCGCCCAGCCTGCGCTGGTTCCCCCTGATCAGATGAAACCGTGTCTGCCGGGCAGTGTTGCTGGGTGGACGCGAGACGGGCTGTGGCCTCGAGGGGCCGCGGGGAGGGCAGTGAGGGGCCTGGCACCCCCAGGCCTCACCGGCAGCTACCCCCTGCCTCAGCCCGGAACGCGCCTGTGCCGAGCTGTGCTGAGCAAGATGGCTCTGGCCGGTACTGACCAACCAGCTTTCAGAGGCCCATTGGAGAGCCACGGGCAGGACCTGGGGAGCTCTGCGGGCTCGGGCGACAGTGCTCAGCTGTGTCAGCATGGCCCTGGCACGCTGACTTCTGTGGGTGGCGTGTGCTATGGGGAAGCAACACACAGCACGTCCATGTCCCTGCTGGGTGGACGTGTGGGTATCAGAGACACGAGCCTGGGCCCCAGAGCATGTGGGGTTACGGCAGGGCCCTCCAGACCAGCCTCTCCTTTGCCCCCCAGAAAGCTGGGGGTGCCCGCGGGGGTCAGACCCCGGCTCCTGGAGTCGGCTGGGATCAAGTCAGGTGGGCACCAGCCACTCGCACACTGCCCGACATGGGACGGCCTCCCGGTGAGCCAGACTCGTGAGGGTTATTCTAGAGTGACCATCAGTACTTCTCAGCACCCTGCGCCCTGCCTCAGGAACCCAGTATGGCCTTGGTGCACACGCGTGTCCGTGAGGGACTGGACCCGCGTCGTCAGGGCTGGAGGGGCAGTCACTATCAGCTGATTCTCTTACTTTAGAGTCTCGGTTTTGATTGTGTATGTGCGTGTGCCTGTGATGGTTGTGTATGTTGTGTCCGGGATGGAACCTGGGCCCCACATGCCAGGTGAATGCTGTACCGCGGAGCCCTCCCAGCCCCAGACTTCCTCCACCCTGCGGATTGAGTGGGCGTTGGTCAGGGAGGGATGGTCCGTCAAGGAGGGGGCTCTCCGTCAGGGAGGGGCTGTCTGTCGGGGAGGGGCTGTCCCTCAGGGAGGGGCTGCGGGGGCGGAGGGCAGAGGCTCAGGGAGTTTGGCCCTTGCAGCTGTGGGGCCTGGAGCAGGAGCTCAGGCTGTGTGTCCGGCGGCTGCAGCTCCAGGTGGGGACACTGAGGTGCCAGCTCCGAGACCAGGGCACCGCCCTCGAGGACGCCCGCCAGCTGCGGAACCAGCTCCAGGGACAGGTAGGCGCCCGCCCCTGCCCGCACACTCAGGCCCCCCCCCTCGCCCCCCAACCTTCGCTGGTTGGGACAGAGCCCTGAGTTCTAGCTGCTGCCCAGGCCCCGCCCTGCTTGCCCGGGGACATACTGTCTGGGTACGAGGAGCAGCGAGGCGGCGGGGCTGGGGAGGCCGCATGTGTTCATGGTGTGAGATGCGGCCTGCTTGGAGAGAGCACTGCACGGGGAACACCCCAAGCCATGGACACAGCACACGCGTGCAGGGGCAGTGAACATGGGCACAAGCACTCACGCGTGCACACATGTTCCACAAACGTGGACACAGGCACACATGTATGCATACATGTGCCGTGAATGTGGACACGGGCATAGGCATGTACACAGGACACAGCCCAGGTGGGCATATGCGCACATATTAACAGATAGTGGACACACATGCACACACAGGTACAGTGAAAGTGGCCACACGCACGCAGGCCAATCAGCGTGGACACACCTGTGCACACATGCACACATGGGTCAGTGCAAGTGGACACAGCACACCGGGCCCAGCAAATCCTGGGGAATCCTGGGTGACGGGGGCGGAAGCGGCTCGGCCCCACGGCACCCTGTAAGGGACAGGGCTCAGTGGAAGCAACTGTCAGTGACGCAGGGACACAGCCTTGTGCTGGGCTGCGGGGCCGCTCCCAGAGGGTCTCTGGGGCCATACGGGGCCAGGCTGTCCGCTGCCCACACATCTCTGTCCTGACTGACTGTACTGGTGAGCAGCGCGGGACCTCAGGGTTGTGCCTCCCATGGCCCTCTGGTGAGGCGCTGAGGCTTTCGTAGCCCTCCCGTGGGCTCTACAGACCCTCGAGCACTTGCAGTCGGGGCTTTGTTGCTGCGACTGAGCGTCTGCACTTGTTGCCCTGAAACCATGCCCTTAGCACCATCTGCGAATGTGCCCTCTGGGCCGCGTCCTCCATCACCTTGTCCCATGCACATTTCCCATGTCCAGTATCCCAGCCGAGAGGTTACAGCAGCTGCCAGGGGTGTGCCAGGGGTGTGCTCACGGCTGGCGTTTCACTCTGGAATGTGGGATGAGGAGGCCTGACTCCTCGGCAGGAACGTTGCCACGGCCTCAGAGCCACTGGGCGCCTCTCACTCGGGTCCCGCCTCACCCTGAGGTTAGGCGCAGACACAGAAGGGCAGGGCTGGGTTCCTGCAGGTTGGAAACAGATGTGACTTCCCACCGCATCACCATGGCTTCACACACACACACACACACACGCACACCATAGGCACACCATGAATCCACACATGCATACACACACATGCACACACAAAGGCATATCATGCATCCACACATGCACACACATGCACACACATACACAGGCACACCTTGCATCCACACACACGCACACACACACACATGCACACACACATACACAGGCACACCATACATCTACACACGCACTCGTGTGCACACACACACATGCACACGCATGCACACACACTCGGGAGTCCTGTGGTGAGGCACAGTGGGGGTGAGAGTGTTGTGGGGGGGACTGTATTGGGGGCCTTCCTGTGCTGACTGTGGAGGGTGTGGCTGGGGTGGGCCAAGGGCACCCCTCCAAGAGGACCCCAGGGCAGGCACTCCTGCTGCTCTTTCCTGGCCAATAGCAGCCCAGGCATGGGGCGCTCAGCGATCTGGTCTGGCTCAGGTGCTGCCCCTGGCAGCTGCCCAGGGATGAGGCAGGGTCAGTGCCACTCCCAGGCAGGCACAGGAGCAGTGGACGTGGCGTGTGTCTCCCTGCGGGAAGGCGGGCTGGCCGTGGGCTTGGCCCTGCACCTTACCATCACCCACATCTGCCTGGGCTGCCTGAAGGAGGCGGCGACAAGCTGCAGCTGGGGCTCAGGGTGTCCTCCTCAGGGACTGCAGCAGATGGGACGAGGCCCCAGGACTCCGAGGGGATGGGACGGCGGGGAGGGGCACCTCTCATCGTGCCCTCCCTGCAGGCCTTCCCTGAGGATCCGACCCTCCTTCTCTTCCAGCTCCAGGAGCTCCAGGAAAAGCACCACGAGGCCAGTCTGGCCGTGACACCATTGAAGGTGACCATCTGCCAGGTCCACCACAATGTCCTCTCCCAGCCCAAGTGTCCCATCTGCTCACAACCAGTGGGGCCTGTTTCTGTGACAGGAAAACTCCGAGTGTGAAGGAAGAGACTAGAATCCCTGAATCCCCGTCTGCACCAGGCTCAGGCACGAGATGGTCCCGGCGGGTGTCTGAGTCTCCGGGGCAGAACCTTCTGTCCCCTCAGGCCATGGCTAATGTGGGGCCTGCACGCAGGAAGCCACGTTTTAAGGCACAGGGGTCTGTCTGTTCAGCCAAGCCCAGCGGAGACACCCTTTTCCAGGGACTGTTGCCCCCAAACTGCCCCAAATCTCTTCAGCCCAGGGTCCTGTGAGTGGACTTGGGTTGGGACATGTCACCTGGTGTGAAACTGGCCCCTTCAGAGACCCCTCGCATCCCTGCCGTGTCCACGGTGGCACCCTGGGCGCTGGGGGAGGGTCAGGCTTGGGCTAATGAAACTCCCAGGCTAAGCGGAGGGGCTCTCAGGGGACCGAGTGGCACCCGCAGAGGTGCAGGGCCCAGAGGGTGGGAGCAGGCAGGAGCCACGGGCTGGGAGGGAGGGGGACAGGCCCCAGAGCCTGGGTTCGCAGCGGCAGGCTCAGCGTCATGGGCAGGCAGAGTTCATCCTGGGAAGGTGGTCAGCGCAAACTGAGAGACCAGGAGGGATCCTCACCTCTGTCTTCCTCCGCCCGTTCCCGTCCCCTTCCCGGGGTCAGACATGCAAGTCTGGCTGGAGAGTCGCTCGCCGTCAGCCCCAACCTGGGCAGAGGCTGCAGGCACTTGGGGAGGACGGAGGCATCGCGGATGGAGTGTGGCAGGCTAGAAGAAGGTGTTCCCAGCCCGGTGCCCAGGGTCGCCGTCCGTCTGTGACCCGCCTGTCCCATCTGCAGGCCAAGCTGGCGTCTCTGGTGCAGAAGTGCTGGGAGAGGAACCGTCTGATCTCGGCGCTGCTGCGGGAGCTGCACCGACACGCGCCCGCGAGCGGCCGGCTGGAGGCGTCTGCACAGAGCATGCTGAGTGACGCAGCCCTGGTCCAGTACACTGCTGACTTCCGGGGGCCCCGCGAGGTCCGTGCCCACAGCCACCTGTGCCTTGCCTGTCCCCGCGCTCCCCGCAGCTGCCTGCCAGCGTCAGGGAGTGACCCTCTGCACACTCACTCAGGGTCTGGCCTCCGCCCCGATCCACCTAAGCGCTTTTCCCTGGCACCTCTGTGCCCACTGGCCGCTCCCCAGCACAGATTCTGCCTCCTCCCCACCCTGATGCACCATGGCTGGTGACCTTGTCTGGTCCCACAGTCAGAGAAAAGCCGCTGGGCCAGGGGTTCTCAAATGACACGTGAGCTCCGAGAATTGGCCACCGCCTGCGGTGAACCCAGACAAAGGCGCCTGCCCAGCTCACAGCGCTGGCCCGAGTAGAGCAGAGCCCCTGTTCCTTGCAGACAAACTCCAGGCTGGACGCTGAGGCCAAGGAAGATGAGGAGGAGGAGGAGGAGGAGCAGGAGGAGGAGCAGGAGGAAGAGCAGGAGCAGGAAGAGGAACAGGAGGAGCAGGAGCAGGAGGCTGCCTTCCCGAGCGGTGAGCTGCTGGCTCTCTCGGGAGTTGGTGCGGGTGCAGCAGGAGACCTGGTCTGTGCACCTGGTGGCGGCAGCTGCCACCCAGGCCCAGGCAGGGTGCTCCCGGGGCTGCCCTAGTAGGTGACTCAGGAACTGGAGGAACTCAGGAACTCGGGGATGCTGAGACGCACATGGACGTCCAGTGGCTGCAGGGTTCTGGCCAGCTCCCGAGGCTGAGGGGCCCATGGGACTGGCTGCCCTGCTGCTAAGAGGACACTGTCCCCCGTTTCTAAGTGAGACTTTCCAGATCCCCCCTTTGTGTGGCTCTGTGAGAGACCCAGCCCCCAGGCCGGGGTGCGAGTGCGACTGGCCCCCAGGGCCCCCAGCTCCAGCCCCAGCCCACAGTCTGACCAGCTCTGATTCTGAGCTCGGCCTCAGAGCACGTGTTCCCTGCTGGTTCTGGTTTTTGGTTTTGGTTTTTTGTTTCTGGCAGGGGACACACCCGACAGTGCTCAAGGTTGACTCCTGGCTCTGCACTCAGGGTCTTTCCTGGCAGTGCTCAGGGGGCCCTATGGGGCACTCGTTGTGTGCAAGGCCAGCGCCCTCTCCACTGTGCTCTCCTTATTTTTCATTGCTGGACCCCAGGACACGGCCCTGGAGGCTCTGCTTGTTGGGTTCCCCGCGGGAGCACCTCCTCCTCTCAGGATCTCGGGCTCCGCCTCAGGGCAGGTGCCCACCAGGTGTTCATGGAGGATTCTCCCAGAACCTCCAGCCCTGCTGACTGAGTCCTTTGCTCGTTGCTCTGGAAACCTCCCGTTTTCCCCCTGAGCCCCCCCCCCAAATCCTCGCTGTCTGGGTAGCTACAGGCCGATTTTATTTTTTCTTATTTAATTTTTTGGATTGGCTGAGACTCTGTGGTTTGTGGTGCTGTTAATGGTGGTTTCTCATGCACGTCCCCGTCCCAGCTCCTGGGTGACTTTAAGCGAGCATCCTGTGTTCTTTGCCGGCTTTTCCTGGAGAGCGCATGGAGGTTGGCAAGGCGGGGCTGCCCAGGCAGGGGGTGGAGGGTGGGGGGCGGGGACAGGGCTCGCCCCCCCCCCCCCCCCCCCCCGACCTCGAGGGCTGAATGGGGCACAGGCAGAGTGCCTGCAGGACTGAGGTCGGGCGGACAGGCCGCCTCTTGCCCACCTGCCGCTGTTTTTCTTCCACTGCCTATTCCCGAGAACTCTCTCCCACTGTGCAATCAAAACTCCCCATTTTGATCTAAAACAGGGATGGCAGGAACTCTGGGGCATTTGTGTGGAACCCTGGCTGAGGTGTGCAGCTGCTCTTTGGTGGCCTGGCTGGTTGGCCCTGAGCCCTGGCCTGTGCCTGCAAGTGAAGCATCTGCCTCTGTCCAGGTTGGCCTGGGACGGAGAGTGGCCCCTGACCCCTTAGCGTGGCTGATGGAGCGTTCTTGCAGGGGCTCCCCAAGGTGGGGTCGGGTGCTCAGGGCCGGCAGGGGTGGAGAGATGCTGCATAGCGGGTGAGAAGAGGGACGGCGGGACTCATGTGGATGGTGCGGGCGAGAGCCACCCCAGAGACAGACCCCGGGCCCTGGTCACGCTGGGCCCCACTGGGGAGCTCGAGATCTGCCCCCTACCAGGCCCCCATGATGCTCTAGTCTGGGCCTTGGTGCAGGAAGAATCGCCTTGATTCAGGACTGGGGAGCCCACATCAACCTTCTGAGGGGGGGCACGCACTCAGGGGACTCCAGAGGGCTGGACGACACGTGCGCATGCGCACACACAATCCCCGGGGGACTTGCATTTTCGGTAGCCAGAGGGTGGAGGCGTGTGGGGAGCTGGACAGTCTCTCTGGAAGGTCCAGGGGGGCACTCCTCACTGGCGCCCCTGCCCCATTCTCCCTGCTATGATGGACATGGGAGGCTCAGGGGTGCCAGGCTCCCTGCAGAGAAACAGACCACCGCCTCCCCTGGGCTGCCTCTGCGGGACTCAGACCCTCTTAGGGTCAAATCCACCCCAGTCACCAGCTGCCCGGGCATCCCCCCAGGAAGCACATGAGCGCGTTTCACGGGCAGGCGGCTGAACTCTTTCCGTCACACAGTGTCTCCTGTTCGGGCTGGTGGGGAGGGGTGGGCTGCACAGAACCGGGCTGGAGACAGTACAGCAGATTGGACCCCCAGCACCACGATGGGGTCCCTGAGTGAGCTCCGCTGGGTGTGGCCCAAAGGCAGAGAGAAGCACACAAAAGCAAGATCCTAAAATCTGCACAGGAAGTGCAGAGATGTTCCCTGCGAGGGTGCAAGCCTGGGGCTGGGCTGTGCCCTCGGGATTGGTCACGAGCGGCACCTGGCGGGCTCACCGGCTCTCCTCCATCAGCCAGGTGAGGTGCCGAGGGCGGGCCACGACGGGGCACGTCCTGGGCTTGGGGGCTCAGGATGCGGATCCTTGCCATCCCCTAGTGGGTGAGATGGGGGCCGGGCTTCTACGGACGGGCACGGACTCATCCTGTGCTCCACCTCCAGTGGGGACTGTGCCCGGCTGCCGTGGCAATCACCGTGGGACCCGGGACCCCTGCGCCACAGCTGCCAGGAAGCGGTGATGTGACGTGACGTGCCCTGCTGTCCCCGGAGCCCCACACACAACCTGGCGTTCCACAGGGAGCTGAGGCTCAGCCTCGCCGAGTGCCCGCGCTCCCTCCGTCTCTGCCTGGCCGTGACTCCGGAGCCCTGCCCAGACCCCATCAGTATTTGAAGCCGCAGCTTGATGGAGCACTTGACGGAATCGGCAGCAATTAGAGCCGTCCTTCCGCAGACCGCGCTTTTGTCGCTGCGGGCTGCGGCTTTGTCAGAGCTGGAGTGAAAAATGCGTCTGGGAAATACGGACGCCGTGGCTTTGGCAAGTGTCCGGACCTAGTGAGAGACTGGCCTGCGCTTCCCTCCCCTCCACGGCCAGCCCTGACCACAGCTGGGGACGTGGGGGTGGGGGTGCATCCTGACTGGGAAGACACTGATGAAGGCGTCCCATGGGCGGGGCCAGGGCTGGCGGCTGCAGTGCCTGGTACAGCCCCAGAACAAGTTGCATCTGCTTTCCCTGCTGCCTCACTGGCCCCCAGATGGCCCAGGACCCACACTGAGTGACCTTCATAACACTCCCGCGACCCCCGGTGCCTCTCCACGGTTCAAGATCTTTGTCTGCAAGTGGAGAAGCCTGGTCTTCTTCTGTGTCTGTCTCCTGCCTTCTGAGACATTCGAGCCCCCAGGAACTTTCTAGTGCGTTCACCTTGGTCGTGTCCTCCCTCGGCAGCGGGCGGCAGTGAGAGGGTGAGAGAGGAGGGGGTGCTAGTCCCACTCTCGGGGGCCCGGAGAGGCCTCCTCCGGCCTCGGGCACTGCTGGGACCCCGGACAGAAGCCAGGACCCCCGTGACAGCTCTGAAGCCTGGCCCAGCGGCCCTGCGGACCCCAGCCCTGCAGATGGGACCCTGCCTGGACCAGCTCGGGGAGGAACTGACTCAGGTCACGGAGCACTGGGAGTGACCCTGTCTGGAGGACAGCCAGATGGGCCAGCCAGCCGCCTCGGCAGAGAGCAATTCATCAACCCTGCTGTCAGCACCAAGAATGGTGACCTTCCCCGGGGGACAAACACTGCGAGAAACCAGGAGGTAAATGAGCACCCTGCCCCCACCCCACAAGGGCCGGCTCTGGCTTTTAAGCAGATCAGCTGGCGGGTGGCCTGGCCAGGGGCCAAGGAGTAAAGCTCCCCTCCCTCACCCCCATTTCCCTCCTGCCTCTGGGCGGTCAGCAGACCTTTTAGGAGGAGCTCTGTGTGTGTGTGTGTGTGTGTCACACGTGTGTGTGCATGCATGTGTGAATGCACGCGTGCATACTGTGTGTGCATGTGTGCATATTTGTGTGTGCACATGTGCATATTGTGTATGCATGTGGGTGTGTGGTGGGGGTGCCTGCATCAGCCCCGCCTGCCTCCAGCGCTCCGCTGTCCCCAGAGAAGGTGCGTCTCTGTCCCCAGCACGGACTGTGTGTTCCCAGGGTGGACACTGGCCTTGTTTCTGAGCCTCCGCCTTGGTGTGCTGCTACAGCCAGCTGGAAAGCCCAGAGTGAGGTCCTCTCCCTCTTGCACTGGGTCAGGGTGCAGGGTTACAGGTCTGCCACCTGCTGCCCACGGGCCGGTCCTGGGCCAGCAGCAACTTCCGCAATAGCATGAACTGCAAGAGGCAGGTGCAAGGCAGGGGCAGGGGTCTAGGTGGGGGGGGGGATGAGCTGGGGTTTAGGAGGGGACAGGATGGGATGGGGCAGGTTCTAGGTGGGGATGGGTGGGGCCTAGGCGGGGTTGGGGTGGGATTTCGGCCAGGACGGGAGGGGAGGGTGTCTCGCCACCCTCAGCATCTGCTGTTGTCCGGCCCCATCTCAAGGACAGGACACCCCATCTTTGCTTGCGCTTGGCCATGTCTGCGAATATCACACACAACAGACACACTCATGCACCACACATTCATACGTATGCACACACATACACACATCATGCTCATCCACACTTACACATAGATGTATGCATTCACACTTATATGTA